TCAGGTTGTCAATGGCTCGTAAAAGGCACAATGACTTCGAATGCAGCCTAGCCGTGGAACAGGTGTAAGTAACCGCTGGTAACGGTTGTCCCTTCCGTAGGGTTCACCCTTAATTTCAAAGTCATTAAACCGTCCCTTGCTTCTGGTCGAAACGAAAGAAATTTCAAAGGCGTTCCAAACCTTCGCTCGAACCGAGAAAACGGAAAAATTCACCATTTTGTACAGTTTTTCGTTACTAGATTTGCTAGTACGCGGATGGAAATGGTGATTGAAAATTGTCCGTAGGTTATCGTTTTTATCGCGCCAGGTTATTGATGGCGAAATGTATTTGATGCTCGTATATCATGAACTTCAGCCTACACGCGCGCCAGAGAATAATGTAACAAGTAATTGGAGTCGAGCTGTAAATCTTTCATTCCCAATGCGGTACGGATTTAATTATACCTTCTGTTTGTTTTTGTTTCGCATTTTCTTTTCGCTCCATAATCGTAATTATTCGTATCGTTTCATTTTCCTGTTTCGACTTTTCTAAGTACCTTGAGGAATCATTAATCTTGTAAATTCCATTAGGTGTCAACTACGATAATCGTGCTAATAGGAAGGAGTACTTTCGGAAATGTAGCTAAATTTTTATGTAACATCACAAACCGTGCGCATTCTATAATACAGAGATATAAAGTCATAGATTCCATGATCATCGTATTCGTGGTCTAATTAGAAAGGAATTAAACCGTGAAAATGTTGAAACGTTAGAACACAATACCGGTGAAACGAGTGTCGTTGAAGAGTCTCCAGGATCGCGGCAGCTGTCGGGAAAGAATCCACAGGAAAAGGATCGAAACGAGCAACGCGTATGATCCATCATCCACGGTAGTCTGTGCAATCCACGTGTATGATCCATCATCTGAGTAACCGTTTACGATCTTCACCGTGGAAATTCTGATCCGCGATGCTATTCCTGTACACCCTGCTGTACACGTTAGGTTGTCTGGGTCGTAATTCAGAATGCTACCATCTTTCGCAAATGTCCTTTGTTTTTCGACCGGCGGTAACCGCGAGAATACCAATTTAACCGAGAGAGAGTTCGAATGCAATTTATGTCGCATACTTATACGCATATTCCACCAATTTAATCGATATGTAATATCTTTCAAAATGCTGCCACGATTAGTGAAAAATTCAAATATTGTAACGTATTAGATAGAGCGTTGAAATCTCGAAAATCGTTTAAAATAATCTACTCGAGTTCTTGCATTTTACTTGTCTCGTTGACCGGCAGGGAATCGTTCGGAAATCGATGCGACTGGCTTCGAGCTACCGTCGCTTCCGATACGGAAATTGAAAGAGCGATCGAAACGCGCGGCTTCTAACCGGAAGTGCAGCCACGCAAACGCGGCCGGATTGCATTACGAACCGCGCAAAGACCACGAGGACGAAATCGAACCCACAGATGGCACTAATTCGCCGTGCAAACGTGATTCCAGCACGTTCGATCGCGTATTGATTTTCGCCGGAGAAAAGCACGAATTAAGAAAACGAATTAACACGTTTTAAAAATACGAGCTTGTTGCGTGTACGACTGCTAAATAATTACGATCTTTCTCGTCGATAGCAAATATACTTGGGCGTCTAAATTAGATCTCTTTTCTCCATTGTCGTCGGGTAGATTTGATGGCTGCGGACTTTTGAAAGGGTCCATAAATATTGATTAGACTGGATAATAGCGATTGTTGATTAATCTTAGGCATCTAGTTTCCTGCGATTCTGCATTGGATTTCGATTGGGCGTTGCTCGTGGGCTTGTCGCTGTGCAGCAAACCGTTTCGCAACAGATTGCGTGCATTTCCTCTAACTGGAACTGCACACCTACCGTGACGATACTCTCTGTCCAAACGAAACGCGTTTGCGGAAATGTCGAGTATCGAATATCGATTTCGTCCGAACGCGGCTATCATAGTACTAACAATTAGAACGATAAAAAAGCGAATAAGATGATAGACGTTTCTGCTAAATAAGCTACATTAACGTCCATCTATTATTGGAAATTGCTACATCGTTCAGCCGTAAACGTAATGGGAGAAAATTACAAGCAGAAGTCTCGTGGAAACGACGGTTCCGGAACGAAGTCGGTACGCGTGCTTCGAACGCGTTCGTCCGGAAATGAAAACGGCTACAACGCATCCCAGGAACACGTGATTTTCCGCATATCCGTTAACAGCGTCGTCGGGTCAGTGACTCTCAGCCGCGAATGTAGCCGTTAAAGTCAATTAACGACGCATCCTGCTTGCAAGTAAACTCGGCATGTAAAGGTATTTTGGTTTCTGACGTTGGGTCAATGTTTCCACGGATTTTGTGTTTACGATCTTCTCTTTGGATTTCCTGAATGTGCCCCGTCTTCCACGCAGCCTTTAATAGCCTCGCTCTCATTGTATTTCATGGTAAATTGACCGTTGTTTGCTCCAGTCAGTCACACGCGTTTCCGTCTAATCTTTGACTCGTAGATGGAGTCACACCACTTTACAAGCTTTAAAATGGTATTAACTGTACGAGCTGTTTTCTGGGAAAATGTAAAAGGTACAAAGGGCAATTTTACGCGCACTATATATTCCATAATTTTATAATTTAACGATGGAAAACGATCGATCTCGAAAGTATTACAATTTCTCCAGCGATTTTCGCGATGCTCGACCCAAATATATTAATATGAAAGTTAGTTAAATTCTTTAGAATTCATTGTCGAGAAAAGAGCTTCTTATGAAGGTAGAATAGTAAGGTAACAGGGCAAGGAAGCCTCCATTCAAAGAAGCACCTCCGTTGATCTCGCTGAAGCAAGAAAAAGTCCGTTGCCCTTTGATTTCGTACGACGAGCCTTCTCCATTCACTTTTACAAGGAAGGGTACGAGCGACGACACACGCGGACCCTGACAAAACCGTCTGAGCCTATTCAACGCCCTCCGTCAAATAGTTTCGCTCAGAGAGCTGAATGGAGATAAAGATCGACGGAGCAGCTCTAGCTTCTTGACAATGATATTTGGTGGAACCTCTTCTGTCTTCCGCAAAGAGAGGACCAAGTCAAAGAACAGCTACCGAGATCTGGCGAGAGAATCACGTGCGAACGCTGGAAACATCGCTTATCGCACTGACAAAACTGTGCTAATCGTTCGATCGATGAACCCAGATTCCAATACGACTCTGTATTTAAATTCCCAAGTAATCGCTAAAGTTGGGAATACGAAAGGTTGATAAATTTGAAATTACTCCAGATGTTTTGGCCGATGAGCTGTTCGACGTTAGGTCTAAACGGTTTAAACTATTACGAGTTACAAGCGGGTGTTTGTTAGTCCGCGTTTCGTTCGAACACGTTGAGAGCGGAATACAGAGAGACTCGAAGGTTAAATTTACTCGCTTGTACTCGCAGAAGGCTAGACGTAGAGAGGGAATTAGTCTAGGATATGATTTCATTGGTACGGTGCTCTTGAAACGTATCCAAAGAGGTCGTTGGCCTCGAAAAGGGATGCTAGGCTGGTTCGTGGGTATTTCTCATTGTAGCTGTGTCGGATGAAGCTTGTTTAAAATCAGCACGTATCCGAGAATTCGTCGGTTTTTGCGCTTGAACCCACGATGACTCGATAAACACTTGATTCGCGTGCGTGAAAGAAATCGAGGTTCCTTTTAAATTATTCTTCGTTCGCTGGAATTCTCGCCAACCTGGTTTTATCGTGCGCTCCGACTATTTAATGCGCTAACGTACTCTTTCAAATATTCTCCGTTCACAGGAATTCTTTTCACCGTAATTTCACCTAAATTTCACCCGAACACAATAGAAGAGTTAACCGGGTCACCATTCAGTCCGAAAACAATAATTTTTCTCTTACACGGAACGTTTATACCATTTTTGCTCGCTACTCGTTTAATCCGATATACGAACTGTTCTTAAATTTCTTTTATCGACTAACCGTAAACTTTATACGACCAGATCCGTGCTTTTTCTTTTTTTTACGTTATTATTCAATTACAGTACCATGTACACATATTATGTGCAACGTGTACATCCAACTGGCAAAAAAAAGAAAATGACCTGTATCGTAATTTTATCTGGTATGTTAGAGAAAAAATGGAGGACGATCATACTCCATTATGGTGTCATAGGGAAGACAATTTACCGACGAACAGAAGAGCATCGTTCCAGGAAGCATTCGCTTGTCCCTCGTTTCCGGCTATGCCGTTCTTAGACGCGAAGATTAGTCGCCAGACTAGGAAACATCCATCGAGTCTTGTATCCATTGCGATCGTAAATCTGCTCGCGACGTCCGCTATCTGGCGATCTGACCACCAAGAAAACTCGATGGATGATGATTTCCTGAAAACGAAACGTGCATTCGGAATACGAATGCAGCCTGACAGTTGTCCCGCACGTTGAAACGGTATCGATTGTGGTGAAATCGTTTGTGGTCTCGGTTCACGAATTAGTATAATAGTACCGTTTGTGGTCGAGTCGACTATCAAAGTGTGAATGCAAAATTATATCGAATGTCTAACGAGAAAATATATGCCTTCAACCGCTGCTATTAATTTAAACCAATAAAGAACAATTACGAGTAAATACCTAAACTTCTAAATTTCTAAAATTTGAAAGTTGAAATCTTAGAAATTAGAAGTATCCGATATCGCTTTCCCTCTGTCCCACGCCATGCCGTTGCATGCACCGATACCCATGGGATCTTTCGTAGGCAGATGAAGTCATCTGTGATCTGTACCAATACAACTACGATTAATCTTATACGAATTGGAATTCTGAAAAGTTGAAATTTATTGAAATTGTGCACGAAGAAAAATTTGCCGAGCGTTTGTTTGATCGAACGGATTTTGAAATTTCGTGAATAAGTAATATTTGAAGGATGTTTCAGATTGTTTGACAAAGAAAACTCGTTTCTTTATAACTCGTTCCAATTATCGTGGAACCGCGAAACTCACTTTCCTTTCGATTTTTCTTTGTTTCAGGAGTAACAAGTACCTGCAAAAATCGTCCATCAGCCGTATATGTGCTGTCGGAGGCTTTTTCATTAGCATTCCCGTTTTTCTAACTGGTAAGAATCGTGACCTCTAAATTTTCGATCACTCGAACGTTTCCGTGTCGTCCACAACGGATTTACTGAGCGTTTATTACTCCTTTGCTTCGTCGTTTTGAACAATGTCTCAGAAATTCTCTTTGACAGAGCAAAAATGATTACTAGCTTGATTTAAATTTGCAGCACGCGTAGGTAGTAGTTTTTCGTTTCAGCTTCGAAACGCTGAATTTGACGATGCTTTCAGGTATGATATTGTACACGTTCATCCAGTTTCACTCTACACCGGCTATCGTCACGTCGGTTTTCATAGGCCTTGGCATCGTGTTTTGTGGATGCGCAATGGTCCACAACGTCTTCGTATGGCAGAGGGTAAGCACTTTAACATAAGTCCTGTAGAAAATACAAGGGACGCGAAAAACCTTCCAAATAAATCATTAGTTCGTACGAGAAGCATAACTTTACTCACGATGCAATTCGGGAGATTATTCAGCAACAGCTTTGTTCCATGAATCGCGCAAGTCACATGGTTAATGTAATCAAAGACAACTCTGATTACGCGAACGCACGCGATCAGCAAATGGCATACGGTTAAAAGACCTCGATTAAGTCGTTTACTCGAATCGCGTGGTACGCTTGCGTGCAATGATGCCTTCCTTGGGTAAGAGGAACTGTACCACTCTCCTGACTCACCCTAGGATAAGTTGCTAAAGTATATTTGTACTAGTAGAAAAAATCTGTTTACTGTACTCGCGTAAACGAATGGGAAAATGCTTGGTAAAGCCATGCATATAGTACCAACGCTAATAATCGATCAAGCAAAGTGTGATAGCGGCATGGTAGTAGTATACTATCGCTAGCCTTCTACCGCTAGGTCTCAAGATGTAGATTACACGGGTAGACTAAGTGGTAGAGTACTAACGCTGGTGGTTAGTAACGTAGAACGGGGTAGCATCGGTGTAGTATTTCTACCACGAGCCTTCTTGCACTAGGGCTTAAGATCTGAGTTAAGGTCCAATAGGACTTAAGACCTAGATCACATTGGTAGAGTAGAGCCGAGATAGCATCGTGGCGGGATAATTCTACGACCAGGCCTCTACCATTAGGATGTAAGACCTGTATAGAGTAACTGTACCATTACCCTTCTCCCACCGCTCCGGTATAAACTAGACCTTAGGAATATACGTTGGCGCTAGCGGCGGTAGCGGACCACCTTGTCCCGCAGTTCCCTTAACCAACAGAAACCAGCATTGCACGCGACTGTACACGGTACTTCCGTCGCTATCCTGTTAACCGTAATCCACCTTTTAATTCGTATCACGATTGTCCAGCATGCCGTTACTCTCCTCAACTGGTGCGTGTCGTTCGCGTGCCAAAGAAAGCGGACACACGGTAACGCGTTGTTGGTGTTCGTTTCCAGGAGAAGACGAACGCCGTGAAGGCGCTAGCGCGCGAACAGTGCGAAGCTGCGGTACAGCTGCAGCGGCAGCAGCAGCTACAACAGCACCACAGTCAGCCTCAGCTGCACCAGCAACAGCATCAACAGCAACAGCAGCAGCAACAGCTTCGAGCACCGTTGACGATGCATCACCCCGGCTGCACGACGAAAGTCGGCTCTTTGGCCAGTCAACCGAACGCCAGTCACGCGACGCACGGCAGAGCGGCTCAGTACCAGCATTATCATCACCATCATCATCATCGACACGTGTCGTCGATGTCTCCGCCTCTGTTGATCTCATCGCCAGCTCCGATGACGGCGACGCACAATCACCTGAACGTCAGCAGTCATAGGAACGTGGTAACACCGCCTGATACACCGGGAGACAGGTCGCCACCGAGTCCTGGGAACAAGCTGAACAGGTCGCAGCATCTACCACGAGAAGCGAGCGGGAGCATCAGTCCTGGACTACCAGCGGCCACCTTGGATTTGAGTAGCGCCGCGACCACCAATAGTCCTCATGAACTGTCTACGTTGGTCTAGCCTGATGCTGTCCACGGGAGCCATTAGGATACTTCAATGGACCTCCGTTCTCTTACTGCTCTTATGTATGTATCGCTTTAGCCAAAAACTGCACAGGGACAGCATTGCGAAGCTACGAAGTTGGCGTGCGGAAGAGACGCGAGTCTGGTTGGTTATACGTATGTTTTCGTTACTCCTCAGACCCTTCCTTTTTTTATGAGCAATTTTGCGATCTTTGAAATTTTTTTATGCATTTTGTATCGCTCGTGCATTTGATTGCCGATGCAGCATGCGCGCCTAAACCTACAAGTTCTTCGACGTGGACTTTATTTGCCTATCACTACTTTGTAGCAATATCGGAATGTTAGTCATTAATCTCTGGAGCGTATCCGCGTAACTCGTTGATAAGAGGATTCTACTGCAAGCGTACGTTCTTGATTTTGTAGCACCTCGTACGCCAACTTTCCAGCACCGCACTGTAATAGAACAGGCATAGGTATCTACGAGAAGAGCGTCGTCAATTTCGTGCATATCTTTGCCACGGACATTACGAGGCAATTCTACGAGCATTCATTAATCCATCGGTGTGTATTTGTATCAAGTACAGTAGAATTTTGGTATATTGCACGCTTTGCATCGCGAATTCGCCTTCATAGAGACTTTCGCGCATGCTAGTGGCGCTCTCTTCGTCGTCATAACACTTAGAGATTTAGAAATTTCAGATCTTTGCATCTTTAATTCTCAAATTGCCAATTTTCACGTTTCCAATTCGCACGGTTTGTTACACTGTCCATCCATTGCGGTATAACGAGAGTCTACCGTAGACCAAAAAAGGAGTCGATCTCCATAAATTCGTGAATGCGTAGAGTAGAGGAAAAGAAGGCCCGAATAGCAAACTCGAGCACGTAGCAGAGAGCTTTGTCGTGAACAGCACTAGTTTAGATCCGAGCCCATGCGAGCCTTTAGGAAACTTGAAGGAGTCAGGCAGTCTCTCGCTGGATACTCGCACACACACTCGCACGGACTCCATCGAAGGAAAATCTTACGCGTGTATTGTATATGTTTATAGGAGATAGAGTGGGGAGAGCCGTATGGTCGTGGAATGGTTCACCTGTGTTACGGGGACCGAACGAAGATGGGACTGGTGGGGACCAAAGCGTGCAAGGGACCCCTCTCGTGGACAGCACTGGAGGTCTCTGCTCGAACATCCAACCTGTGCAGACGATAGTTATTTACATACATATTTAGTTGGAAGTTGCTCGTCAACTGACAATGACCAGAAACGAGAAGCGATTCGATTCCTGAACGATGTTCCAGGAACATCGTGCGAAAGAAGCGACTAATTTATACCCACGTGTTATCTTGCCATTTACATGCTATGATCATTATTTTTGATTAACATCGTCATTAATATTATTGATGACAATATTATTATTATTAATCTTGCGAAACCTCTAGTCCCTAGATTACTTTCGTTCTCACGGAAGAATAAGATTTCTGGAGTTTGACTATCGCGCCGCGGTCATGCGATTACAAGTTCTCTTCGGTTCAAATCTCAAAGTATAAATGGTCGAGTTGTAAATTTAGAAATTTCGATTATCGAGTGACTTTCTTTTCGAAAAACGTACAGGTTTTCTTTCGTTCTTGTTTCGTAAAAGAACTTTTGTAATTTGAGATTTGAGTTTTGACCAGATCCTTAATTTTACTATTTAAGTGTCGATACTTAACGCGCGTGTTCCTTTTCTTTCCGCGCAGAACTGTAGTTTAATTATTTCAAATAGTTGATAACATCGAACTGACGTACCGACACGAATTTAGAATTAAACCTTTAGAATTACTTCAACGAATAATCGTGTGTAACGTAACGAAAGTATCGACGACAAAAGTATTCTCTTCATGCTGTACATGTAAACGGAGACGAATTTTCTTTTTTTTTTTTATAGAAAAATCTATTTAAGAATATTAATATGTATTTTTTAATTATTAGAAAATGCTTATTTTCGAGTATCTTGATCTATTCTATATTATTTTTACATGGTTGTATTTATATTTCTTTCCCTAAGTAGCTGTAACATAGAAAAAAGGAACAAAACGAGGTTTTAGTGCACTAGTATGTTATAGAGCAGTGATGAGTAGATTAAATACAAGTTCGGAGGTTCACATATACAAAAAACTAGCGTTTACCAGCACCGATGAGTAGTCTGCACTGAAAATTAGACAGCTGGCAAGTTTGAAATATCTAAAAAACAGAAAATCCGAATATTTAGTCAATTTGAAAATTGAAAAATTGTAGAATTAGAAAATTGAAAAATTACCCGTGTCCATAAAACCTTCGGCGAACGCTTATTCTACTTATCACTACTATTACGAATTGAAAATATGAACAAATTCTTGCTACGAGTTGTAGCACGGAAATATGTAAGTCGTATCTTGCAGATCACATTGAAAATTTCTTTCGATTATGATTTAAGAAGTTTGTTCAGAATTATTACCGAACAGGGTAAACGTTTATCGTAGTGTCATTACACTTTTCGATACTGTATGAACGGATTTTGTATCATAACAGTAAGTCGGTAAAGAGTATTCCATTGTTTCTTTTTTATCGCGATCACTCGATCATCCTTTAAATTGCCCGAGATAATTCAACTCGCTCCATAGAAAATTCATGGTTTTTTATGGAATACAAATGTAAAAAGGGACTCGGATAGTCGCGTGTGTAAATAGTATGTGACACGATACACAAATGTTCTCGATCATATTCAAAATTGGGTAGGATAAGCGAGTGAAGATATGTAAATTTCATAAATAATAGTATATACGATTTATATCAAGTTTGTAAGTAGTGTAGTAATAGAACATTTTACACTTAACAATATACGAGCGACAATATACAAGTTAAATTATTTGTTGGGTCCATGTATAACATGCATAGTACAAAAGTGTTTTAGCTTTATGTACTGATACTTACGAAATATCAGATTACTAGATGTATTCAGTATGTACCTAGTTAAGGGGAAAAACAAATAAATTATTCTGAACAGATAACAAGAACTTTCTTCGAAAGGACTTCAGAAAATTTTAGAAAAAGGAAATGAAAGAATGAACAAAGAAGTTTCAAAGTGAAATTATTTAATCTCTATTCGATTATATGTAAAATTAAAGATGTTAACTAAAAATATAAAGAAATTTAAATAAACAACATTCATTAGAACAACTAAATTTTCATTACACTATAGCCTTAACTTTAGTAGGTAATAATTAGTACATTTTTTTATTTATAACATATGTGTTTATAACTTTATTATACTATATTTTAAGTAACTTCGTAACAAGTTTGTTCTTTGAATATCTTTATTTACAATGTTGAAACTTCAAAAAACAAACAATTATATAACAGATTTATTGCAAGCAAATGGTACAAAATGTTTTACAATTGATAAGGTACGTCTCCCGTATACGCGAGAATATATTTTGAATTTTATCATCAATAAGTTCTAAAAACAATCTGATCTCTCTCTCTCTTTATACAAATTCTATACAATCGAAATATACAAATATTAAAACTGTACTGAACAACTTTACAAGTATCTTACTACTATATATAAAATATTGCAAGTATATTACAATGTATATGCAGATATAGTATTGTTATATCAAAGAACAAAATTGTTTATTGTATATAAATTTCAACATTTTAATAGTTATAATTAAAATAATTATATAACCTTTTGATAGCTAAAATGAATCTTTAGTTATGCTCTTGCGTCATTTATTGTTGATGGTACTCTTACTTCAATTCCATCTAATTCTTTAGTCATTACTATTTGACAGCCCAGACGTGACCTAAAATTGATAGTTTCATAAGATTGTACCATCAAATACTATTTAATAGATTAAATAAATTTCAAACAAGCTAGTATCACAATGAAAAGGGAAACTTGTGAACAGAAAGCTATTAATATAATGAATAACATGCCAAAACTATTTAAAATTTTATTAAATAGTATTTTTATTGCTGATAAATTTTACCTCTTATATTATATATTCATAATTTTAAGTGTCCCTACATTTCTATATACTTACATTCTTAGACCTCTACATATTCACTATCTCTAATTAGGTAAGTAGAAACATTCTTAACAATACTGCAGCATCTTAGAGTATATTTCTGAGATAAAAAACTTACGTGTCAGTTAATTCATATGCTAGATCCAACATATCTAATTCTTCATCTGTTGGCTTATCAGGAAGAGCATCATAAATTTCTTTAGGAAATATTAAATGACAGGTGCTGCAGGTTAATGTTCCTTCACAAGCACCTATATAAATTTCAGTTAATTATAGATAATCCTATTTAAAGAATTACATATCATAGAAGGTTACAAATACAGTCTAAACATAATAATTATTGTACAAAATTGTACATAAAAACTTACCATAGCCATCCAAATCAATTTCATTGTTTACTACAATATCCAAAATGGTATCTCCAATTTTTCCTTTTGCTTTGATTTTTTCTCCATCTGCTTTCACGAATGTTATACTTACTCTGAAAATGAAATAAGAAGTATTTTACATAATTTAATTTTTTGACATTTAAAATATTATGAGAACTATTTTGTATTTTCTTTCGAGAAAATAATTGTTTCTGATACATTTGATTTACTATTTCTCACAATGTAATATTTATTAATGTTCACTTTCAATGTTGGTTCTATATACATATTAATGTTCTTGCAACATTCTTCTATAGAATATAAACTGTTTTCGGTTTTTGTTATTTTTTATACATTCCTACAATAAGAAATGTTAATATATTTTTATGCTTTTGTCGCAAAACACTTATTAATCCATTTTATTTATTAAATCTTTATATTTTACAATTCAAAAAGCAAAGGTTATGTTACTTACTCTTGTTTTTCGGAAAGTGGTTGAGTAGTGCAGGTTCGTCTTATTGTTTGCAGAAATGGCAATGTTGTATTACTTGTACACTTTGAATAATTTGAAACAACACCGAGAACAGATCTCGAAAATCTTTGAAAATTGTTTACTAACGCCATTCCAATATTAAGCTTACTGCTGTGCCACGCAGAAAAGCCTCAGTTCTTATGTGATTGCGAAAGATAGAAACTAGCTTTAGGATCTTATGTATGTCAACTTTCGTTATAATTCTGCTATAACTTTACAAAAGTTATAAATAAATTACAAATTATATATTTCTCTTAATATCAATAACGTTATTCAAAAAAGATGTTTACTGCTTGATACTTGTTAAGAATTTTGGAAGTCTAAGAGTGGGAATCTGGGATTTATGATTTGAAATTTTAGAACCTCCAAGTTAGAACTTTGTGACTCGGAATTTAGAGAATTGGAATTATGGAACGTTCGAATTTAGGAGAATTTTAGAATTTAAAAATTTAAAAATTTTAGGATTTAAAACTTGAAACTCAGAGACTTTAAAGAATAATACGTTATATGCAAGTAGATAGCAAAAAATGATCGCTTCAAAAAGTATCTTCCTCTATAAAAAAATGTTTTCTCCTTCTTTCTATCGACATATTTTTTTTCACCGTGTACATGATCAACCGAATGGAAAGTGCAAAAGAGTGGGGTAGTATCATTTGGTGACGAACTCCCTGAAGTTAGACACAAATTCTTTTTAACCTCTTCACAATATTTTAATTGAATATAAAATGGTTTTAATAGTAAAATTAAAACACGATCAATGAAAGTTGATTATTGAACGATGTTTAATTAGAGTTTATTGAAGGTTGATTTTTCCTAAAAAAAATTTATGTTCAGGGACTAATTGTTAGAACGTCTTGATTACTGTATACATATTCTGATTCCACAAGTATTGCGAATGACATTGTTTATAGTTTGCTTCGATCTAAAGAAAATGTAATAAATTACTTTTTTAGAAGCAAATACAACGTTTCAATGAAATTACTTGAATAAAATGGCAGATAATAATGTTCTGTTTGTTCGAGGAAATGGAAATGTATGTATGCTTTCTTTATTAGGTTATATAAAGCGAGCATTAAACATTTCATAATCTTTATTTATGAGGACCTTTTTTCCAAAATATGTTACTGAAATGTTTAATCATTTATAAAAGTATAATTTTGTATCTGTAAAAGGAATAGTAAATATTCCTAAATTGATTTTATGTTTTTGTTGAAAAAGGACATAAATGCAGACAACGAAGATGTTTGGGACGATAGCGCATTAATAAAAGCATACGATAAAGCGGTAAATTTAGCAAAGGAAGAGGTTGTTAAACGAATGGGTATGGAACCGCAGAAGACTCAGTCTAAACAAAAGCTACAGAATGTCAAACAAACTCGACTTCCAAATAAGCAGGGCAAGGTTGTAATTTTAACATGTTTTTATAAGTTCAATGCAAGATATAATATCAATTGATATCTCCTTTTTTTTTTTTTCATAGAAATGGATTGTGGGAGCACCTTGTCGGGCAATATATTCAGAGGATGGAGAAATTTATGAAGCTATAATAACAAAAATTTATGAAAACACTGGGACTTGTATTGTAAAATTTGTAGGTAATGCTTGTGAACTGATTACATTTTCCAAGATCAGAATAATTTGACTTAATTACAAAATTAAGATTGTATTAAATTCAGGTTATGGTAATACGGAAAAGGTAGAGTTGAGTTCCCTGTTAGAATCAGAAGGTTTGCAAAGTCAGATAGCGCAACAAAAGGATGCTTTAGCAGAAAAATTTAGCGAAGAAAATACTGAGGCTGATGAAACAAATTTCTCTATCAATGCAAATTCTAAAAGATATAATGGAGAAAAAATGGACTGCGAATCCGAGGATGCAAAAACCTACAAGCATCACTTCATGTCTGGACCATCTTTTAATTCTACAGCAGAAATAATGCCACCTGCCCCACCCTTACCACCTCAATTAATGGCCAAGTAAGTTCTATATAAAATACTACAAAATTTTATTTCTGAAGCTAATAGATAAACATTCTTAGTTTTAAGGGTAAGAAATATATGTTTTAATACAACACACACACAGATTCATTTGCTTTTGTAATATGGATTAAACAATTTTTTAGATTACCAGATAATGATGCAGATGCACTTTCAAGTATGTTAATGTCATGGTATATTAGTGGTTTTCATACAGGTACGTGATTTATGTGTATTTCCATTTTGTATTAAATTCCTAGTGAAATATATCTCATTTTCTCACAGGTTATTATCATGGTTTGAAACAAGCAAGAAACAATCAAGAGAAAAAAAAGAATTGCTGATTGTATACATTCTTTTTCACGCAAAATATAATTTTTATAAACTTATATAATAGTATTATAATCATTATATATTTATTTCGGTTTTTCCAATTAACATTTTGTAATAGTTTTACTATAAAATATAGTATATGCGCTAATGTTTTTAACATACCGAAAAATTACACTGACCAATTCAAATATAGATACTTTAACTACTTATCCACTTAGTGTAAAGAGAAATATCTTTCTTCGTTTTCCGCATGGTTTTTATCGCATCCTCTAAACTCTTCCGGTCTGTTATTTCAAATTTCAAGTGTGTTACGCTTATTTCATTTGCATCAAGACGATCCCACGTTGAAATTGACTGTTTGATCCATGCTTCTTTACAAAGTAATTTTATTTCTGCGGCAGAACAGTTTGCGGTGGCGTCTATGAGGTAATTTTCATATTCTTTATCGGATAATATGTCAGGTGATACATATAATGCGAACAGATTAAGGCGGGAAGTTTCATCAGGTAACGTTACATAGATTTGTTTTTCCAAACGTCTGAGTAAAGCTGTATCAATGTTCCTAATAAGGTAAATTATGAAATAAGTTTTTATATATTTTAAGCTTCTGAACATTATTTTAAATTGAACATAAAATATTTTTTTTTAGAATTTTACTTAGTCCCTTCTTTTACTTAATTCAGCAAATCACTTATGTAGAGGAGCATTTGGTATAAAATTACAAAAATTACAGAAAATTGTTACTTACCAAGGAACATTAGTAGCAGCCAAAAGCAGGACATTTGAACCACCTGGTGACAATAGTCCATCTAATCTAGTGAGAAGTTCTGCTCTAAATCGTTTCGCGGGTTCCGACAACGAATTGTCTTTGTGACTTATAGATATCCAATCGATTTCATCGATGAAAATAATTGCTGGAGATTGTTTGTAAGCGAGATCAAATAGAACCTATTTAATTTATAAATTAATTTTTTCATTCAGTATAATAACGTTTGTTTTGGGTTTGTTTAATTTAAAAACAATAATTTTAAGAATCTAACTTACGCGAATATACTTTTCGGAATCACCTCTCCATTTACTGACCAATGAGGCGGCGGTTACATTAATGAACGTGCAGTTACATTCCGTTGCAGCGGCTTTTGCCAACATTGTTTTACCTATTTACAAATTCTTCGTGAAAGTATTGGAAATTAGGAGGAACATAAATGAGTCTAGCCTACCTGTACCAGATGGTCCATACAGTAAAATGCCTTTCCAGGCAGAGAATTTATCACTAAAGAAAATAGGATATTTCATCGGGTAGACAACAGCCTGTTTTATAGCCAATTTACATTCATCAAGTCCTATCACATCATTCCAATGAACGTTTAAATTGTTCAACACGATTTCCTGTATAAAAAAATGGATCGGTAAAAAATTTCGAGATCAAATATGACGCTATTATTTTTACGTAGATGGACTAAGTTATTAAGAGATAAAATAAAGAACAAGGTAAAACAATTCTTTTCGCGCTTACCGTTGAAATGTCCTCAGCTATTTTTCGAAGTTCAGAGTCAACTGGATAAAGTTCTTCAATGCATCTTAATATATCTGATTTCGTACGTCGATTGTTTGGTGGATCTTTTGTCGAATTCCCATTTTCATTCATATTTTCAGTAGTAAAAAGTGGTGTTACTGTTAATCCCGAACTAATGTCGTCCGTCGAATTGGAATTAGTTTGTTGCATAGCTTTTTCCTTGGACGTGTCATTTTTATTCAGTTTGTTAACCGTTTTGTTAGTCTTTTTATTTTGCCTACGGAATTTTGTATTAGTGTCTTAACAGTAATTTAATTTATCAATATATCTCTAGGAATAATGTACACTCAATGTTCTAAATAAATAAATACTTTCTGTGTTGCAAAATTATAAATTGAATAGAATGAACATCTTACAATTCTGTTTTTTTAATTTGTAAAAATTTTCTTACACTGGGTTCGTGCCAGGCTCTGATGCAGCTATCTTCCATATTACGGGATGTTTGTTAAATCTTAAATAATAATAACTGTTATATTCCATGAGAATCATTTCCAGGTCGACATTATCGCAGATTCTGATATTTGATGACAACTGAGCCTCCGAGAACAGCGCGTTATAAGCGTCTCTTAATCTGTGAAAATGAATTTCATTTATAATTTCACATTGCATCTGTGCATACAAGACAATATTTAAAAAAATTTTAGTACTATTATAACTATCGCCCAATAAATTAGTATTATAGGCTTCAATTGCTCAAGGAATAAATATTAATATTAAATATGCGAAGTAAATGTTACATACAATAATTTTTAATAAAGATTTATATGTCATAGATATGCCTGTTTTACCGACTGCGTTATTCCACTTTCAAATGATTTTCTTTTTTTTAAGAACGAATTTTCTGTTCGAAAGTTTTAAATAAATCGAACGGTATGCAAATTAAAACCTTCTAATGAATTATTTCGTTCGACTTGTAATTAATATTAAATTAAATATTTATGCGAATACTCACCCACGTTGCTTCAGATGATCCGCAATAAGATATAAAATACTTCGACGATTTTCTTCCGTCTGATTATTCTCCTAGTTTCAATTTCAAACATTAAATATTAATAAAAATTATACCATTTTTCACAGAAATGATTTTAAAAGGAAATATTAAGGAATACGCAAATACTGTCAATTTTCTTTTTGTATTTATCAAGGGCGAGAAAATATTTGTTCATTGATGATTTTTCTTACCATATCTCGTAATTTACTATTTATCTGGTTCATGGTTCCATTCATGGATAAATCAAGCGGCATGGTGATTGCGGAAAAAGAGTGCGTCGTTCACCAAATGAATATCCTCGTTACTTTGCCACGTGGCAACTAAGGCAATATTCTTCAACGAATTTCCTCGTGCTACCACTTTCTTCTGTTCGAAACATTGGATAAGCGTTTTGTTGCTATGGTGATGCCGGCGTGTTCTCTACGCAGAACGTGTCAGGAACGTTTGTTGCGTAGGATAAAAGAGGACGACCTGAGCGTTTTACAAAAAAAGATAGAAAACAATCAATTTTAAAAACCATTGTTCATTTTGTTCCATTCCCATATTTGTTATTTAATAAAATAGAATAAACTGAATATAATATAATATCTTTGATCGCTCATAGAAGAATAATTTTAGGTAAAAGGCAATTTTTAGTCATCGGTTTAACTCGAGCAATACGAAAGAAACATATACATAACGTGTATAGAACAATGAATTTTTTTAATCCTCTTTTATCGTGATTCTTTTAATTCCTTCGAATTTACTAACTAAACAGACAAGAATCGTTTCAGCCTCGTATTTTCTCTGCTAACAATTCTCTTCCGACTGTTTGTTATCGCAGCTTCCGTTTCTACTTGTTCATGCATCAAAGTTAACGAATTCTCTGTTCCTCGTTTGTTTCTCGAAATCCTCAGTCTTCTACTATTTTTCGAGAAAAAAACTAGCCCTCGGGATACTCTTCGTTATCCGATTTTACGTGTACAGTAAGACCCCGCTTAACGCTGCTCCGCTTAACGCTGTTTCAGTATTACGCGGTTGTATTTGGATTTCTCGAAATGGCACACGGTATTGATACTTGTATATGTGTGCAAAAGAAGCCGGCATGCAACAACTATAAGCGGTGCATTATGCAGCGACGATGCACATGATTTTTGTTTCACTACACTCTTTTGTTACTCGTTTAACGCTGTTTCGTTTAGCGCTGGAACTTATTGGAACGTATCCCCCGCGTTAAGCGGGGTCTTACTGTACCTCCGTTTCCCTTAGGGTTTCCCAGATGTTACGAGTACACATCGTGAAAAACGAACGTCGGAAACGAAAAGATCTTTCGACGCATGTCCAATTACGTACAATCTGGTAAACGAATATCAAGAAATGGTCATATCAGAATGCGACGTAGCTGGAGTGTTATCATCGTTTTGAGCACCATTCGAACATCACAAGGACAATCATGAAAATCTTAAAAGTTTGCAGTGATCTTGTGGAGAATTGGCAAACTTCCATCGAGAGAGTGACACTTTGCAGTATCTATCATCCGCGAACTCAGACAACATCTGCAGCACCATCCATCTAACATCTCTTTTTTTTTATCGTGTACTACGGATTCGTTAACTCTGAATCTAAATTGTGAAATTAAGGACCCTAAACACTTTAAATCATTTCAATCTTAATAAAACGTTTTATTTTCGGATTTTAGAATTTTGGGGGACTTTAAAATTTCAGAAATTTAGCATTATAGAATTTTAGAAACTTAAGACTTTGAGAAAATTCTTACATTTCTAAATATTCAACTTTCCAATTTTTTCCATAACTCTCTAAATCTACAAATTCCCAGATCGTCAACTGACTAGGCTTCTAAGCGATTTCCATATCGATAGATCTTCGAATCCCAAATTCTTGACCCACCTAAAAATTGTCCTCGAATATGATTAAAAATGAACGAGTGAAGGCCTCCTTTGTCGTCATATTTTCCGTGCGAAACCTAGATTTCCTCTTGACTGCGCCCGAACCGAGGGTTTTTCAATGATATACGTAATGGCAGCACATTACTTGATATTCGAACGAGCAGATAAAATGTTAGTGCAGTTAAAACTATACCCTGACAATATCATCGTATGAACCGCAAAGGTGCAAGGTATAAATCGCAGCCTTCGGCAAAGAAACGAAGACAAAATGGCCAGATATCGGAAATGTATGTTGTCTTTGTACAATAGCATAAGGCGACAATAGCGAGACATATCGCAGGTTCGAGCAGAGTAACTGGCGAAGGTTGGCGTTGCAGGTGCATCGGTTGCACCGGTGCGTTGCGGCCGTCGACGGGGGTGGCTTTGACGGCGGTGCCGAGTGCCGAGGAGAGGCGCAGAACGTGTTCGATCGACCCGCGGTATGCAGCCCGTGCTCACACTGCGACAGAGTTCGTTTCAGTCAGTTGCTGTTTGACCGTCGACCGTTTCTGCTCGCGTCGCGATTGCTGCTTTTTCTCTGCTCCCTCGTGAACTCTTTTATCGTGACGACCGGCCTAATTGTTTATAGTTCCATCTGCTCCACTGTCGTATCTCGCATTCGTGTTCAGATTCTTTCGAAATCGAATGCTCGTTCTTTTCTCTTGAAATTTCGTTTTTGGAGGGAACGGACCGTTCGAAGGAGGCGAGCCTGGGACACATGGGTCGTGAGCCACGAGGGATGAATGATGCATCAGCGTGATGCATTTTCGAGGTAATTTTAATCAAACGAGCAAAAAATCGCCTCTTTTTTCCAACTTTTTTTCCGAATGGATGAATTCGTAACGTGTTATGCTCGAGAGAGTGCTTTTGAACATGTCTTTGATGAAGAGCTCGATTTTTTTCACGTTCGACGTTCCTGGTTTATTCAGTTTTTTCTTTTTGATAACTTTTTTTTAATTCCTTCGATCGGCGGATTCGTTGAGGTTAATTCGGGACATCCGCGATGAAAGTTGTGGATTTGGGGGCGAGATGTTTGATGTACATAGTTTTGTTGCCGTCGACAACGCGTCCGCTTTCGAACGCTGAATAAGAATCGATGTGAAACAGACGACGTGGATCATTCAAACATTTGATATCAATTCACATTGATTCCTTTAATGAATTTTATTTACTTCGAAATTTAATCACATTCGTTTTCGTTCTTATTTTAATGAATTTTTCAACGTTCTTCATTTGGAAATTTGAGTGCTTGATTATAATCGATGTACTATTATACCAGCTTCGTGTTGGTCTAGGTCAGGATCGAGTAAGCCGAGGTATTTAGATTAGAGCAACATACAGAGTAGGGCGATACAGTGAGTGGAAATATATGTATAGATCGAGATGAGCTGATCTATACGCGGATACCGGTATTCACGATACGTGCAGCGACAAGGTGTCGAAGATCCATGGAGCTTTTAAATTTTGTCTAAAAATAAGTTTGCATTGTCATGCATCATCGTCAGAAAGTTTGTTAATTTGATCCATAAAAAAAGTTCTCTTTGCGTCTGTAACAAAAGGATACGCAAATACGAATAAATCCATCCTTCGTGACAGGTACAATACGATCCATCTTCATCCTGTTATAGATTCTACGACAAAATTGAAATCAGAGCTTCTCGATAAATTAAAACTATCGATCGTTGTAACGACGCGACTCGTTAAAAGCTTCAGAAATCTTTCAACCGTATGCTCGAGCGTTTATATGCATGTAATCTGTCTAAAACTTTTAAGTATACTTTCGATAATTTAATTAATTATTTTTTTTTTATTAATCATATACTTCGTTCTATAAATCGTATTTATCACACGAGAGCAATCGACGAGCAGTTATGGATCGAAAGAAATTTTCGAGCGACTGCTCGCTATGCCAGATTACCGCCGCTAAATGATTGACCTTAATCACTTAGCGATAGGCACGATCCAGTGATACAGTCTTTCATAAGACGGACGTTGTAAGCGTTTGCAAAGAACTTCCAATTCAAAGGTTTCTTTGTTCCAGACAACGTTCCATTTATATCGGACGAAGAAACTTATTAAGATATTATACTCGTTTCTGATATCAAATGCGATTGATAAAATTTAATTAACTACGGAACCAACAGTTTCATAGCAAAGCAAAGTTCGTAGAGTATAAAAATCAAATTGTACCACTTTCAGAGATTTATTATATACCTAACTTGAAAATTCAATAATTGCCAGTGTCACTTCTTTCAATAAGCTGATTTTCGATCTAGATCTCATAAAATTTTCGCGGTGAATCTGGTTCGAGTCATCTTCACTGCCCATTAATAAAATTTCAGAACTTTTCGTTTCGTTTTTATTATCTTTGTATCAATTATTCGGCTACGGTTATTAAAATTAAAAAAATTCCTATTATCATGAATTTGCATTGTAAAGGAATTGGGCGTTGATACACACACTCACACTGAACTTTACTCTTTGAAATTATTAATTAATATAACACGTGAGTTGCTTAATTAATTAATAATGAGCAGAATAATTAATGTTCAGAGTAGATTCTCTTATGCTTTGCACGTTCATCGATGTCAGACGCGACTCATCTTGATACACGAATACTTGGAAATAATTAAACTTGCTAATGGGCCTGATATTGAACTAGAAAAGAGATTTCGAACTTCCCTTCCTTTGGTAATTTTTTTCATTAATTTTTTTTTCGTCTATCAAGGTCGGCGGATTTTTTTCGAGCGTGGAGTCAATTTCAAGTTTTGAAATTTGAAGGCGTTGGCAACTTTGTACACGCAAGTTCTGATGTAAAACAACAAGGTGCTTCAACTATTTTAAACTTTCGAAGAATGCTCCACATGCTCGACAAAACTCGCATCGATCTCAGTTTCTACAATTAACGGAACTTTGCCTATCGCAACGATACGAGGATGACAGAGTATTGGTATTGACGTCAGCTTCTCAAAATTTCTCCCCGAGTATCGGTTCGACTATTTGGGTTAAGAATTTATTTTCAAGGCTGAGCAAACGTAGAGAAACCGAATAGTAAATATACCAAATTGCCGATGCGCTCTTTCGACGCGTTATAATGTTTTTTGGAATCGGTAGAGGAAACATTTTTGAACAAAGAGCGACGTGGAAAAAGAGTCGGACAATTCGAATTGTAAACTGCGCGTATAACAAAGAAATACACCTATGACAGTTTTTGTTCCTTTAAAACGAAGAGCGTTTTGTATTTCCCATTTAAAAACGAAAAATTTGTCTTCTGTCTCTGATAACAAATATACGTTGTACGAAACAATATTTATTTTCAAAAGTAAAGAAGATATTTTTAGAACGATTTGAGAAGCTAAACACATGCGAGAGTTTTTATTTATTTCGAAGGTCATGGGATATAAATTGGACGAAACAATATCTTAACATTTACTTTTTAAACAGTTTATTTGAGTTAGAGTTCAGGTCAGCAATGATTCCACCATTCGGGATGTACGAATTTAAACTTTATAAAAATATTCCGTAACGAAGTTCCGTTCTTCGAACGAGGGGAAGTTATTACTCCAGTCGATGTAATTGCGTTCGAAGCTAGTACAGTAACAATGTCAAACGGGTGTACACGCGTTTGAATGTGTAACGCGTGAATAATAGACGAGATGGAGGCAATCACGCAAACCTAACGTACAGTTCTACGTAACATTATGTCAGAGTCCACAAACTGTAACCAGCAGCCTTGTAAGTTCAAAGGCCGTTCAAGTCGTACACCACTGTTACTGTTCAAATTTCATTAACGAAATACGTTATATCAATCGCTATATTCGTTTTTATCGGATCGATACGATAACATGATAAAGTTTCGAATACGTGCGCATGTTTTAGATTTCAATAACACAACTTTTCAAGATTTCGGATTAAAAATTCAATCGAAACATCGACGATAAATTTATTTGCCTTTTCAATTAAACCCGTCACAATGGACAATATCGTTTCCTGTAAGGGCTTATTGGAAGTCTCTCAGCTTTGTTATCGATTAGAAACGATCGACACCGTTATTGCGCGATTAATAAAACGTTTCTTTTAATATCGACGCGATATATTAAGCTTCGTGGTCGATCAGCAACCTCAATTTATTTTTATATCGTATAGAATGTAGTGGACAAGAAACTTTCGGAAATAAAGTAGTACAATCATCGTTGACAAGAAGTTATAATAATTTGTACGTAATAAAATTTCTACTAGCCACCTGAATCGTCACGATTCCATCACTACACGTTTTATTGTTCTTTCAATGTCATTGCACGAGATTTTGCGGGACGTCACAAGATTAACCGAGTTACGCAAGCAAGTTTTGTAATGTAACATTCGCGATTTATACAAACCGTACAATCGGATCTCAGTTGCATTCATACGTCATCTAACAAGTCAAACAAATTTCAGTAAACGTTTGCCCTTTCCAACGTGTTAGAGTAATTTGCAATTGGACCAATTGCAGGATATCATGGAAGATGCATTGCATCACGTGGATTTTCGTTAGTCTCCGGTGGCGTGCTTAAGCACCGTTAGGTACACGGTTAATTTAATGAATTCCGAGTCAAATTGGAAAGCTACGCGTATGAGTTTTTAACGATCGTTTTTTTGTTTCATCCAGAGGTGTCCAGTGAAACTGGGACGAACGAAACGATCAGACGCGAAAAAGACCGATAAAAGAAAATTGAAGGGATTTTGATATTGCATTCTTTTTCACTGCCGTCATTTATCCGTGTTGATCTATCAGTCATATCCCTTAAATTGATATTCAGTCTGCCACTATCTTTCTGACAAGTTATCGAAAAATAATTGCTACTGCAACGATTTAATTTGATAAAATAATCGAAAATATACCATGTGTAGTATACTACATATCATCGACGTGTAAATTGAAGAATTACATAAAAAAATAAAGAAATTTCAATTGTTAGAAACTTTACTGCGTACTAATCTTATTGCAGAATGTTGTTCACGCAAAGAGAGTGTGCTTCTCACGTGTAATCATGATCGATTGAAATTACGTCTGAAATTACAACGTTGAATAAGAAAAGACTAACACCGGTTGTTTAACCTTAATCGTAACCAGGTCATCTATTTCTAAAAATAATACGAACAGGTAATATCGTATGCGCGTCTAGTTACTTGACTATTCCGTCTGTGTCAATAAAAATCGAAATATTTCATCGATTATTTTATCCTTTGAAAATTCAATACTTTCAATCGTTTTGCACAATACACTCAAGACGCGTGCTCCACTATTTTTAATCTTTCGAGGTAATCGATAAATGTTAACAAAAAAGGGTTGCACGGTTGTAATTTTAGACTTATAGACGCATTCTATTTTTAGACTTTTTAACACGTAGGAAAAAGACTACTATTTATGTCGTCAATTTTCTTACCCATTATATCCATCGAATGGCTATCTATAAAATTATTTTGCACGTGTAAAATAAATTAGTTGCAAGGAAAGTATGAAAGTTTTAATAACAGCAGCCTCGTAGAAATTTATGTTCTGTTAAATTAAGAATTAATTAAAATTATAAATTATTTGCTGATACAGCATCATTTCAAGAACCCTGTGACAATATTATACATATAATACTGTCAAATCATGTTTCATTATATTCCTAAACATCGTAAAACATTTCCATTCGATATGAAACAATTTGATGACATTTCGCAGAATGAAGGAATTTAATCACGAAAAAATCTCAACACCAATTTCAACCATTTACGGACAATCAAGCCTGGTTGGTTAAGGTCATACGCGTTGTACGAGGATTATCTCGCGTTAGAGTCAATTACGATAGTCCCACGCGAAATTGATCCAAACTATGTGAAAACGCATGTTCTAATTTCTGGTGCAGATAACATGCTACCGGTCGCAGTGTGTGGACGGTGGTTGCTGGAATAGTTCGATCTCGATTCTCCTGGCACAGCCGTGAAACATTAACCGCTCTTCGTCCTTCGACAACGACATAATCGAGGACCATGAAGAGATCTTCGAACCTTTACACGAAGATCCTCGCCTGGACCGTCTGTCTTGTTGCTCTTCTTCTTCCTTTCTTACCTTCGAGGACGGGTAAGTTGAAGCTTAAGGCATTCACAGACTGTTTCTATTTCTCATGAATCATGATAAGATTTTGCAGTACTTTCTGAAATTGCAAACACGGTAAAATAATCTGGCTATCTCGATTGCACTCGTTTCCTCAAAGGACATTTATCAAACCATCGCAGTATCTGATGTTTGTCGTGATGATTCAGTCATGCATAGAATCGAATCTACGTGAATCATTGATGAGCCCAGCCTAGTAATTCGTGCGTGAATTATTCAAAGGCAGCATTCATGGAAGAAATCAAAACGTGTATGAATAGTGATAGCTATTTAATTATTCTGACGCCTTTGGAGTTTCGACGAATGTAAACTTAGACCCGGTGTAAATTTTCTGCTTCTCTGAGCTAAACGGAAATAACAATCGACGAATAGATGGCGATTTACGTTAACCCTACAAGGAATCGTAAATAAAATAAGCTATTCTTTCGTTTTAACTACTTATACATTTATTTTGGAAAGATCACGTATGGTGAAAACTGAAGATTCGCCATTTTAGAACAAAACGAAAAATCTTGTACCACTTTTCAATCCGCGATTTCGTTTACCGATTGGAAAGTCAAGGAGCTAATCCTCAACCGCTCATATCCTGGATGTCTCAGACTGAAAAATGGTACAAGACTTTTCGACTTGTTTCGGTATGGAAAATCCTGTGTAGGCAATGCGAGGGGGATATTCAATAGATAATCGTTTCAGTCGCTCTGGAGGAGAACTGCACGGATTTCCAAGGTGCCATTGTTCGACACGGTCTCCTCTATGTGCCAGGACCTGCAGTCTGCAGTCTCTGCGTGTGTTACCATTCGGAACCAATGTGGTGTCAATCGATTTTTTGCACGCCACCTTATGTAAGTATTTCTTCTTCCGACTACCTATAATATTTACTACTATTTACACAGTCAAGCAACCTGATAGTAACAGATTGCGTTCATTTTATTTTTATATTTACTTTTACCCAATTTTTCCATCGAACATTTTTCCTTAGAACATACAGATTCTTTCATTTCCAAAGTTTCATTCTTTTAAGAGACTTGAGGCTTTCACGCTTTCATTCTTTTGCACGCGATAGGAATCATATACGAAGGGAACTCGGAAGAACAAGACAAGAAGGTTAAATAATATTTCATTTCAAGATTCCTACCATGATAGGACGTGTTCCATTTCAAAATTCGTAGGTACGAATATTCGTCGATTGCACGCCTTCCGTTCATTATTTGCCAGGAACAATAAATACACGTCTATGTTGGTAGCAAGGCGTGGAAAAAGAAGAGGAAAAGCCATTCGAAGCGTGACGGTATCGCACTGCAACGAACCGTATGAAATCGATTATCCGACACGGATGCGACCGGTGTAAATGATTTTAATGAGCACGTTTGCTCGTACGAGATCCCGAATTCTCGACCTCCGTTTTTTGCGGCTTCCTTGTGAATAGTCGTAAAAATATCCTCGAATTAACGGGTCAATTACTCGTTGCCAAAGGAGAGATAAAAAAAGGAAAATTGAAGAGAAACATCTTACCTTCTCAGAGTTTGCAGGTCGCGAAACTGCGGGATAATCGGCAAACCGAGGGAAATAATTTAATCGATCGCGCAAACGAATGATTTAATATTACCGGAATTATTTTTCTAGCGAATGGAAGGCATTCTGGAAATGGTATAGGCCATTGGTCAAGTATAATCCAATTTTCTTAATGGAGAATTAAGACTACTCGAGCAAATAGTTTCCAATAGATTAGCAAACAAATTCGTGACATTTCCACATACTGGAACTGCTTAACCGTTTTAGTGCCAGAGGTTTTTAAAAATCCATGTCGAATTGTGCCATGAAGCGCGATAGCGCTTCCTTCATTTATCTGCGAATAATGCCGATCGACGCGGTCGCGCCGCTCTTTTTTTTCGTCGAAATATGCCGCTCGGCGCACTCGCGCTTTAGATTGATAGGCAATTTTTAAATATTGTTAAAAATAAACCTTGGGACTCAATGTGTTAAAGAAAGACAGCTAATTATGCAGGTTGTTTACGATTATTTGAAAGAAAATTTGTAATTACGAGAGGAAACTCTCGACAGACTCGCGACAAAAATTGACGATCGTCATCAAAAATAGCGACACGGTTCACCACAGTATGCGAACAGCGCGATCGCGCTGCGTGGCACTAAAACGGTTAAGGTCCTAGTTAACATTAATTACATAGTAGTAATTGTGCAAAGCCTTCGATATCGACAGCGTTAAGTATTTACATAGCAAACTGAAAATACCTACGTTTAAATACCAACTTTACAAAAACCAGTCTGCGCTTACCCCACTTCACCTTATATTTTTTATTTCATGGAAACGCATAAATATTTTAATTTAGACATAAATGGACTTAGGCCATTTTCAAAATAAACGGCTCACTTATAATTTGGTACTATAATCTTCGGTCATAGAAAGTCCGAGAAGAGCTTAGAGGTGGGTATAAGATCGCTCAAAGGGCCGTCCCGATGTTCGACTCATTTGGGAATTAGAGTTTACTTAACCAACAGCTTTAGCCAAAGATATGCGAGGTAAGTCCTTATGTACTCAGGTACTGTCACATATAGAGACTTCACTATATTTTGTAGCTTTATTTGATAACTTGCGGGGACACGAATTCCCCTGTTTTAATTAGTAGTCATTAAAGGCCTGCCAGAGGAAGCGCAAGCACACTAATCAGTAATCTAGAGTCAGTTACAACGTTGGCAGACACTAGTTTCAAGCATTAAACATCTCTTGGTTGTATATCGTAAAATTCACATGAGCAACATGATAGCGAAAAGTTATAGTTGAGTGGAAATTAAAATCTCAATTTTTCTAACTCCTTTAGCGAAGGGATCGATCATTTCTCAGAAACGTTGCAAAGCCTTATTCTATTGAAAATTGCAAATTAAAAGCACGGTACAACGAATGAAATTATTGATTCTGAAATCCGGTGTAAGTCAAACTTCCACGAATAGAATTAAAAAATCGTAACAATAATTTTAGCTTTGAAGGTTGTTCTTCAACGTGGATAAAAAATTAATAGAAAGTTGGAGATATAAAAATCGCGCTTTTTTAGTTCGGATCAGACAAACTACGTTTCAAACGTTTTATCGCATTGTATCGAAATTGTATCGAGCTAATTGAATCTCTCGACGCCCCTTGCGCGAGTAAATCATCGAAATATGTAATTATTTATACGCGACGCGGCATAACAGGTAGAATAAATGTACGGTGCAATGAGTTAATTAGTAACGTGCGATTACGCAAATTAATTGTTACGTTCAGATGGAAACGAGCCCGGTCTATAGTCGGTGAAGCGAGTTATCTCGAATTTGACGTTAAAAGCGAAGAAAACGAGGGTTGAAAGAGAAAGAGAGAAATAATGAATATTAACCGCGTAACGATTGCTCGATGTAGGCCACCACCTTTTTCCCTCCGTTTTCCTCGGACGTTTTTTTTTTTATTGCAGACGAGAGAGGGCAGAGTTTGTTCCAAGAATCAATTACGCCTCGCAGGAAATTGCGTTATCGTTTGAACGTCTTCGAATTACGTCCACGATTATTCTTGGCCGCTTCCGTTTTTACCAATCCCACGTAATCATTCAATGCTACCTTATAATGGGACACACGTAGTACCTGTTAACCCTTATAGAATATTCACGAGTAAAATACCAATCTTTTCGCAAATGCGTGTGAATTGCTTCAAAAGGTAGTTTGAATTTTTAATATACTTAAAATTAGACTAATAGATTGCACCGTAGGCAAAAAGTTAAATAGTTTGTAGTTGTACTCCAATATCTTATTAGGCATCGCTTAATTCTGTCTAACGAAATTACTTTACACGAGTTTACAAGCGGTGATATTTTTGAATACATCCTACCTTAAAAGAACATCCGATCGATCTGTTAAAAACTATTTCGATGACCGACAAACACTCGTCAGAAACGACGTGCAACAGCTTTCAGTCGTTAATCACCTCGTATCTGCGCGTGATTGTTCTTCGTCAGTCGGTCGCTCTTACGAATACAAAAGCGTTAAACGAAATTTCTACAGGGACGATTCGTGAAAGAATCTTCACGGTTTTTTTCCGTGTAATTTTCAAGCGGTAGTAATCTCGGGGATGTCACGAGCAACGGTATCCACGGTTTTACGCGGCTCCCTCTTTTTTTTCCAGCCATCTCGTGTTCTTTCAAGGCGTTCCGTTTACCCTCTGATGCGTGTTCGCGTTTCAAATGTAACGTTATTAAGCGGTCGCTTTCGAGTTCTGTTTTCAAGTTGAAAGCGAGCGGAGGAAATTTTAAACTTGATAGCTTGTAAACCGTTCAAATGTCACTTAACATTTTGACAGTTGCACATTTCGTCGAATCTGTTGCATAATTTTGCGTTGCTTCTTCTGTACAAAGTATCGGTATTAGTTGTCTTAAAAGCACGCTCCGTTTGATTCGTACGTGATACATCGTAAAGAAACTGACATCCTGAAGAAACTGAACTTCTCACCGAGCACAGAACTTTTTCGATGTTTTTATAATTCGAAATCAAAGCGCCGTGATAATCAAAGAGGAACTCGGAACCACGTAATTTTCTGTATCGATTGACTTCACCCTGGAATATCGTGTACTTGAAACAATAGTTTCGCGTGGTTCGCTCACCAACAAATATGTTGTTCGTGGAAACCCCATTGATTAATCGAACGTTTTAATTTGCAACCTTTAGCGTATTTAAAAATGCAGATTTAATCGATATAACTTTTCTTGGAAATCGCGTTACATTTGTTAACTTTGTTTCTTAGAATCGGAATTAATTTGCATGCCAAGCGCGTGACTGCAAATCGTATCTTACCTACAAACTACACTTTTTTAACGAAACAATATCGTTACAAACATTTTATATAAAATGTCATCGGTGTCAAATATAAAAGTTTCTTTTCCGTTTTTGAAAAGTCTCATAATTTAACGTATTCATCGGCGACGTAAAAGAAATGTTTTTTGAAGGATTCAAAGTACCCAACAGAGGTCGTAAAGGAGGAACATTTATAAATAATTTTTCTTCGTCCGAAAGAACAGTTCCTTAAACGTATAGAAGTTGAATCGGAACCGCCCGAGTCGCTTTGTAACCATTCGTTGATACCGTGACGTTTGTTAAATCGTTTAAAAAGGTAACAGCATAAGTCAAAGAAGAATAAGTTAGTCAGAAACACGGAATTTGTCTCGTTAAACGACTGTATACAGTCAAAGAACCGTTTCTTCAGGGACCAATTAAACGAGCTTCCGTGACCAACCGCTTGCAACCTGACGACGTTTTCTGTAAATAAAAAACTAACTGTATTTACGAATTGCCGTAACGCGATTGTCGTTAGTAATACGGTTAGTAATCCCTTTATTGAATTTTCACTTGATGTGACATCGTCAAGCTTCTTAACGAGATTTTTTCCCCTCCTCCGAGGACCGTTCTTTCGTAGTTTCTGAGCTTCCAATTACGAAGAAAAACCCTGCCAGCTTTGTTTATACAAAATTATATCCTCTGTTTGATCTTTCTTACGCTGTACCACCGGTTTTTAACGTCAGTGAACTTCAATTTACAAACAACATTTTATTTCCATTTTTTATTTCTACTTTCAGATTTTTTTTAAGGACTTTACGCTTTTGATTAAACTGTTTACTCGTAACTTTCAGTGAAACGATTCGATATCTTCGAATTTTGAAATTTTTAGGAATGAAGGATGCTTCTGTTTTTTGGCCCGAAGCCTACAATCCTCTTGTTTTAGTACTCGAACTTCGTTGGATGCTAGCGGATTGGCTTTCGTAGAATAAGAAAGAAAAGTATACGAAACAATATCTAAACCGACCAACGTGCTACGTATTTCCGGTTACAAAATAGACCAGTGGCAATTGCTCTCGATGCTGCAGTCCGCACAATTCGTCCGCAGTGGCCTCGTATTTTATTGTTCCGTTTAATTGCGAACAACCGTGCGAAATTAATCGTAAAATGATACCGCTACGTAAAAATTTAAAAACTATCGAGTCGTTGTCAAAAAAAATTGATGTAATTAAAAAATACACACGAAATTTCTACAAAATTGACTCTAGATTATTGATACAGGTAATGAAATTTTGTTAGAAATTTAATATTTTCAATTTTAAATTTTCGATCGTTTCCCAAAAGATACTTTCGCGAATTCGTACGACGAGAATACAACCATATCGAGGTTAACAAAGTTAGCGTGACAATCAGAATGCATATTGCTTGCGATGACACGCGATAAAGAAGTTTTAAGCCAGATCAAGTAATTCGAGCACCGTGAAACTCGAGGATATTGTTCGGTTTCTCGAAGACGAGAATCGACGTGTTCGTGGTATCGCGGTATCAAGATCTTCTTTTATCGGGAAAGTGGCACGAAGAGGTAAGAACGCTCGAACAAAATCGGCCAACAGGCTGTCGCGCATTTTGCGTCGGAGAGCACGCAACTGTCAGTCACGTCGTTTCTTGTAAACGAGAGAAAGATATTGTAATTGCGCGGGATTAGCATAAAACTAGTCGCATGCAAACGCCTGCTGGCCTGAATATCGTGCAACGTGATTCTAGGGAGCTTAAACGGAAGTTAACGATTTCAACCAGTCTAGATATGCAGCAACGTTGCATTTCAGATCTTTTATATCCGATAGAGTCTAAAACTTCCTGGTACACGATGTGTCCTTTTGCAGGAAACGTTTGCCGATACTTTGTCGTTGCTTTTTATAGCCTTCGCGACGGAAAGAGACGCCTTGGAACTCCGGAGATCCGCGAATACAGAGATATTCGCGTATTTAAGGTCGTAAAGATCTAAAAATATAGAGATGTTGAGTTCCTTTTCCTTAGATCCGCTCTAAGCTGCGCCTACATTTGTCCCCGAGCTACCAAAAATTGTTTCAAGTATATGTGAAATTTTTCAACCCTTTCAACTTCAATTGCCCTAACGGGTTGATCGTTAAAAAGAAATGCATGGAAGCATTATCAGTTGTCGCGAACATCTCATTCATTCGTTCGTTCATTCGATTCTCCTCTGTACATCGTTAACCAACACCTCTCACCGCAATTTCCTCCATTCTATTCGACTTTACATGACCTGGATACCGAACGTTGAAGCACGATTGAATAGCAATTGATCAGTGATCGATCTTCTGCCACAGAAATGCAAGAAGTTTCGAGTGGGCGAACGTTGCTGCGAGTTCGAGTGTCTCGACGACACGGACGCTAACTGGACCGGGCCAGATTTGATTATCGCCTCGGGATCGTCCAGGATCGAGAAGCAAGGAACCGTATGGCTGCTCGGTTTGATCGCTCTTCTGAAGGTGCTCTAGTTTCTTACGAGAAATATCGTCGACAAGCTACGACCTAACGCGGAATCGTCGCCGAGGATCAGCACGGGTCATCAGGGATAGGGAAAGGTACGACGCGTCAGAGTTTGTCTGCCGACTGTACCTCGAGGAACAACTGTGACGCGGTTATGGAATCTTTTTCGATCCCTTCTTTGCTTTATCCTGTTCATCGCAATTTTCTCCTTTCTCGAAAAATTCCTTGATCTTTTGTATAATATCCGTGATCGAGTTCAATGCCAATGGTGATCGACGATGTGGAAATCAGTTTTAATTTATTACTACATCGTAAGACCATTTTTATAATATTAAACTTATTCGGGATTGGCCGCGGTCCGAAATAGTTAAACAAAGAATCTTTCTTGTGATTTTCGTGCAGTAAAACCTCGATATTTTTCTGCGACAAGTGCTCTAGGAATAGGGTAGAAAATTACGAAGGGCCAATGTCATACGCAGCTTGACTATCCGCGCGTGCATAAATAAAAGGCATTGCCTGTCGATAAATTATCTGGCAAGAAAATATCGATGCTTTATCGCACTATTATATAATTGTATGTGTTTTCAAAAAGCACATTCGAATTGCTTATTCTTCTGAATCGATGATTTAGGTGACCAGAAAGTAGAACCACGCTACGATTATAGACACCAAACGTGATGCTAAACGAATTTATTAAACGAATATTTTATTTTTTCTAGTATTATTTCCTGTTAATGGCGATCACGAAAAGAAAGACTAAACTACGCGAGTTGTTGAAATGTACGAAATACCTCGATTAACAATCTGTTTACAATAAAATTCTATTTTTCAAAAACCAAGCTCGTCAGTCTGTATATTTTATTCATAATAATTCTGAGGAAATTGGAAAAGGAACGTAAATTGGAGAGTTTCTTTTCAATTATATTCTGAATCTTAACCCTCGAATGGCGAGTTGCCAAGGTATTAATAACTTACAATTAATTTTTTGCAACTTTTCCGGTGTATAAGAATTTCTCTCGAAGTATCGCTGATTTTGAAGATTTGGGTCAAGGTTGACCCGGTCACGCTACTCGAGAGTTGCTTCGTATTAATAAAGTTACTTGAATAATTTTTAAATATAACTTTGAAATGAAAGTCATTGAAAATTTACGTTTGCAGTAGCTCGGTAAAAATTTGGAGTATTCGACAATTATTCGGTTGACGGTCGACTTTGGTACTACCCTGGCAAGGCTTTCGTTCGATTGAATCAACAATGAACATAGACCTACCTTTTGACGCGTGCAAAGTGCCACTCGATTAACTTGTTGATGCTGGAATTAACTTTTTGTGCCACAGGGAATGAAGATAAATGCACCGTGTTAGAGAAGTAACGAGTTAATCCTCGCTTTGCGACTGGAAAATGAAACGTTTTAATCTCTAACGCATTTGTACGATCTGGCTTGACGGTCACAATTTAACGTTCGTTGAAATTTCAATTGTATTCTAATTTAAACTATGTACCTTAACAATGTTAAATTCTTCCAAAAATTTAAGCTTATTGGACACGTGTTTGTTCTTTAATTCCGCGATGCGAGACGTTCGGAACTTGAAGCGTTTCGAGCAATCTGTAAAAATTTTTCGAAGAATCCGATGATCGACTTCGTTCCGTAAAGAAATCCTGCGAAACTTAAAGATCGTCCCTGACTTTCGTGGTGCTTTTATTCTCTCGTTTCCATGAAATTGCGAAACTTCTCGAGTTTCTGGCCTCTCGAGGCGTGCGAATTGTTCGAAAGAAAAAAACTGCGAAACTGGGATCACTTAATTAATTTCGATCAATCCATCCATCCATTCGTTCGACGGCCTACGCGTTTCCTATGGCTGAACATATCGCTTCCGGTCGGGAAAATGCGACGGAACGAAAACGAGCAATTAATTGAAACGGTAATAATAAATCTATTGGAACCAAGAGAACTTTATTAAACGGAAAGGACGATCATTTTAAGAGCTAATTAAATTTTGACGAACAACGCGTGAAAGTTGATTAAAAAATTTCACGATCGCTTTCGTACACTTCGACCGCTACATAATTGAAGTAACAACTAAGATCTACTTTATTTCGCAGTTTCAAATGTCTGCGGATTAAGACTCTATTCGGATACGGGGGTTAGGTTGTATTACAGTTGTAACATCAAAAAAGTAACTTGATCTGTCCGTGAATGGTAAAACAATATAAACGTTACTTATTTTCTGTGTTGCTACATATCGAAGTGTATAGAAAGTATTCCAACGCATTTTCTCTTTGAAACGCGAAAATTAATAAAAAGGCACCGTTGAATACGAAGTTTTTCTTCTCATAAATTGAAACACGCGTTCGTTAAATTACATATTCATAAACATTTCGAATTCTAAAGGATTTTAAATGCCGTTCCATCAAGATAAACAAGTCCAAAAGCCCGTTTTTAAAGAAATGAAATTCTTATAGCTCATAGAAAAAGAAATGAAATAAACATCTACCGCAAGCTGGTAGCGATAGAAGAAATATAAAACGGTTACTATTCGCAACTGTTCAATAATTTCATCTTTGAATCGAATTATAAAACATTTGTCGCGTTATCGATATCTGTGCTGGCACGGTAAACCATCACAAACGAACAATACGTATTTTCTACGTGTACAAAGGTGTATATTATCGTATGTATATACTTTGTTGGATAAAGAGGAACGTGAAGGGAGAGAGAAAGGGAGAGTTCTTCGATCGCGAAGAAAAATATTTAATTATCTACAGAAAGAATATCAGAACATTAGATTTTACTATTTTACCCTCCATATTTATGTATGTAAAATATTTGATCGATAGATGTGATATATCGATATTGAGTAGAGACACGCGCTCAATTAAATTTATCGTAGTGATATTTCCATCGAATATACACAAGTAGAGTTTTAAATAACGAGAAAGGGTTGCAGCGGACTCAATTTTAAATATACTCGTATTACGTGTAAATTGTACCTCGAACACTGTACTCGTTAGCGAGCCTTTTTTCTTCTTGTTTCCTTCGTTATACAAATTTTCGTTTCGGTAACGGAATATTACACGAATCAATTGAATAATTCGATGACGACGGTAGCTGCGAATACGCCGTCTAACGAGAAGCAATTTCCCAAGAAAACTTGTCATCTTATAATTTTATAACTTCTTTCCAACAACTGTTAGACCTCGTTTGCGCAAACGATCGCTCGAGCAATCATGATCAATCACGAGACACGTTTATTCGTTGAATAATATTTAACGTCGCGACTGAACTGACGATTTTAGTGGTAAACTTATAAATTTGAATTGAAGGACCTTTGCACAGGGGACAATATAGTACCGATTAGAATATTAACAGAAGTAATTCGTGCAAACAACGCAATTCTCGTTTTGCCTTGTTCACGGTCCGAGTGTTTTTCATTTCTCTTTCTCCTTCGCAAAGATTTCGCTGCTTTTGCGTTCGTTAAGTACTCTTCTATTCGGTGCACAGCAATTTTCACGCGTTCACATTTTCGCGAGAACAAGGACGTACGGTTGGTGTGAAGTTCAATGTTTTCGCACTTATGACTGTAGGACGTGCATTTTTTATTCTGATTTAACCCTCTGCGGTCGCCAGTCTATTTTCACCCGCCTACGCACTCTCTTTAATGAATATTTTACAAGGATCTTTAAGTTTCAGTTTGAACTTAACATCATTCTTTTTGTTACTTCGTTAAAATATTTAACGATAACCGAGAGGGTTAACGGGGATATAATTTTGTCACGGATAAATTGAATTTTTAATTAAGTTGAATTTCAATTAGATCGTCAACGTTGAATCGTTTCAACGAGGTTGCACCAATTGTACCTTCAGACCTTTTCTACGTACTTGAACAATACCGATAGTCTATCATTAATAACTGAATGGGTTTTCAACTCACCCAATTAGCAGAGATTTCCCTTGGACGCGTAATTTGTGGCTTCCCGGTTAAATTAAACAGTCCAATTAGCATCACTAAATTATAACACTATGTAATTAAATATTATGAAATGTAATTCATAATAGATATTGTAAAACGAAACAAAAGTTTTTGACAAACGAAAGGTTTGACATTTGAATCGCCGATATGAATTGCTGTGCTCTGAATTTGTCAAAAATAAACAAGCTTTTCTCTCATTCTTTCATTAGATCGATATGTATATACGTAAAGATTCGAGGAACACACATTTATCTTTATAAAAAATTAGAAGTAATATTATCAACGTTTCCACGATTTTCTTATTCACGAATCCTGTTCTATGGAAATTTCACGTGTATTCGAATTTTGTCTAGGTACGGTAAGGTTTTAACGATACAACTTCAATCGCATTTTAATATCTAATGACCGGTATCGAAACTTTGTAATTAATAGCGTTATTAAGAGAAAGTTTCGAAATGTTCTCAAACGACGAGCACTTTGGCTGATTCACTCGATTAACGCTAATTTACCTGGTTAATTTAACGATTTTTTTTATTTCAGATCAACTTACTCACTTATTTAAAATAAATTCAAACGATACTTTAGTAAAACTATACAAGCAACGGGGAGTTTATTTTGTAATATAATTTATTTTAGCATTTCATAATGATCGCGAAATTATGTTCCCCATTGTACCTCTGTGAATCGTCCCTGAGTTAATTCAAGCTCCTATGCTCGTCGTACAGGGTATTAATTAATCACCAACGATGAAAGCACGTCCAAGTCCAGTTTGAGCTTAAAGCCCAACTTGAATTATATCGTGACAATAGTCTCTTCAATCTTTGTCCGTTTCTTTTATCGTTTACTAAAAAGCTTCTATTAAAATTTTGAAACATCGACAAATCATTAATCGTCCAAAGATTGTATCCATTCTCTTGTTCAGATGTGTTCTCGAAACTTGCTCTAGATTTAAACTTGAACAGTCAATTTTTATTTATATCATTTATACATGTGCTATTGTAATATCGTTTGATATTCTGTATAATCTGACCAATCTTTCTCGAGATTTTTCCTTAAATCGTCGATGTCTTCAAGAAATTTTCAATTTTAAAATTGATACTCCATAGAGACGTCTATTTCGCATGCATTAAGGTATTTTTGATAAAGGGCTGTCGATGGCCCGGAGCGAATTTCAATTGTAAATAGAGCGTTGCAGTTTTGATGTAAAAGCATCGTGAAAAAGCAGCAGGATATGCATGAGGGTTCAAGGAAGAAAAACAATTTCGTGCCAACGACACGCTCACACCATTCTTAATTTTCATTTGTAAAGCTGAAATATCGTTGCTCTTTCGATATTTTAGCTCGCTTTTTATCGACGATGTAAATCAGAATTGTTTAAGCCGCGATTCTAATTTATTCTATTAACAGGTATATTAAAAGGACTGTTTTCACTTTTAACGCGTTCAGTGCGACAACTTTTTTCATCTTTTCGGCGGTAGAGGATAAATATGTCCTTTACAATATTTATACGAGAAGAGTATACTTTCGTACACTTTTGGTTCGAATATTTGTTCTTTCTTGTTTAAGAATATTCGACGCAAAGCGTATCGTTGAGACAAAGAAAGGACTATAATTTTTTCAAATTTCCTTCGCGAGTCTGACATCGACTTTGCGAATCGGTCGTTTCTGATCTAATTCGTTGAAACAAGCACCAAAAGAGAATCGTCCGTGTTTCTCTGATAACCTTCCCAGCTGATTAACAGCCAAAACACTGTTCTTCGTCAAGTTTTTAGCGCGTTTGGATATTTGCCATTTGATCTTCTATCGACACACCGTGTATATCAAATCGACATTGCATCAATCGACCAATTTCTCTTAAGCTTGTACTATGAGCTAAGGTTTACGTGTAAAGTAATACAAGAATTATTATGAATCTGTCTGAATGTAAATATATTTAGATGATAGATTTAATATTACTACGATACGTAAACTACCTTTGATTGTGATTACGTCGTTTGATCATTGAGGGGCCTTTTATGTGTGAGTAATCGTTCTATGATAACCCATATGAATTGTAATAATTTATTTGATCGATATTAAAGATATTCAAGACCGTAGTGAAATCTTGTTATTGCGCCCTTGTATCCTGAATATCCTTGTCTCTACCTAACCGACATCAAATTTTTAAATTTAGAAATTTCAGGATTTGAACATTTTTTAAAATATACAGATAAAATAAATAAAAAAATGTATCCCAAGTTCTGCTCATTACCTTATTTAAAACTAAATAAGGTAAATTTGATAAGAAACATGAAAATTGAAATGTAATACGCCCCGCCATATGAACGTGTTTGAAAACCCGTATAACTTGCGCCATCTGATGACGACGAGCGAACTAACGAAATAGAAAATCAGAGTTTTTTCACAGAATACAGTACGCGCGCGTTTAATGCATGATTCGGAGCTCTAGACACTAGAATCTTTAGGAATCATGCATTAAATGCGAACCAATCGCATATGCATCTTTCTCATAAGTCGACTGTTCATTGGTTAAATAAGACATACTGGACGACTGTATAGGATTCACGCGCATGTGTAAATAATGTGTGTGAGCATTTCCTGCGCATGCATTAAACGAGCGTATACTGCACCTCGTCGGTGCTGCAAATTTAACCGGTTGGAGAGATTTGAAAAGGTAGGAAAAGATGGCAGTAGCTACGATATCAGTGCTCGACACCGATAGCTGCTCCGTTCGCTAATCGATCATTCCGGGTGTCGGGAGTCGATGCAAGTAGGTGCAAGTTGGTGTGCCTATTTGAGAGGACGCATACTGTACAAGGACACTTGGGAGTAAAAGAAGAGTTTCTAAGATATGCAGGTGTGTGAAAATAACTGTTGCTCCTGCATAAGCGACCCGTGATACAGGTGTATTAGTACAAGATGCTAGTTGGCATTGTGTCGTAAAAAATGTCGAGAACCAACGTCGAGTCGTCGGAACGGAACACCGTTTGAAACGTTCAACGATATTCTTGCTTCGTTGCTGCACCGCGTCAAGTGGTCACGATTATGACGAGATAACGAACACAGAATGAAATACAGCGACAGTAACCTTCTCGGTTATGCAGTTTTCGCGTTTATTCTATTTTTTAACGGTGAGTCTAACTCGTGTTTTCTTTATTTTATTCCAGTTATTCTAACGTTTTCAAATTCTTCCGCGGTTCTCTTCTTCTTTTCGATTCGGCTTTTGTTTTTATTCTTATCGACGATCTTATGTTTCACTCCACAAGTTTCGAATCTACTTTTGGCTTTCCTTCGAAACTACGCGCCTAAAATTAATTCGGTCGAACAAACATTGGCTATTTATTGGTTAGAAATACCCTATAATTCAGTGATTACTACTCTCGAGTATCATGTATTCGACGATCCTTTTCTCGGATTTATTCTTTCTGATGTTCGTATCGAGCGATAATTTTTAACGAAAATTCACTAGTTGGATGGTCCGATTGACGTAACGTGCATATGACGCATGTGTTGCCGCTCACCTGCTTGTCGTTCGCTCGCTCGCTCGCTCGCTCGTTGTTCATACATGCGCGCGTCATTTTTTATCAAACGTATACAAATTATTGCTACGTGGATTTCCAAAAACATTTATAAACCAACCGAACCATCAGCTTTTGTTCGATACGCTACAGTAACTAATATGATAAACAAACGATTTCGAACGCGTTTAATAATTATTTTATTCGGGAATTTTATTTAATAATTATAATTAAACTATGTTCTAGGAAGATTAATTACAGGGAATTCTAATTTGTTTTCTTATGTTTTGCAGTTATTCATGCAGAAAGCGGTGTTAGTTGCAAAGATCAACAAGGGCGATCTTATGAGTCTGGTTTCCTTTTTGTTCCGGGCCCAGAACCTTGTACATTGTGTGTTTGCGAAAATGGCAATCCAAAATTGTGCAAAGCAATGCTTTGCAATTCACGTGCAGAGGTATTTTAAACGCTATAATCGTTGCATTCTCCTGTGTACATTGCATAATTCTATTTTTTACCGGGATTCAAACGTTGATTCTGCATTTTAATAGGAAGATTGCAAGTCTTCTAGGAGGGGAGATATCTGTTGTGAATACATTTGTTTGTCATCGATCTCGAACGATAAAACCGATGGAATGGGTAGCAACACCACGGATGCCACTGCAAATTATGATATAGGACTTAGATCGGTTGCTAGTTTTGTCACCGCAGTCTTGTCTCTAAGTCTGTTGTTTTTCTTGATACATCGTTTACGTCAGAGAAAGATACGAGGTATTTTATTCTTTAGGATGCAGCATGAGTTTGTTTCTTAAATACTTGAACAAAAATGTTGATTATTTTGTAAAAGTTTGCATCGCAGGAAGACAAAGCAGACAGTTGGCAGAGGACCAAAGAAACTTAGGTAGTATGGGATACATAGAACGAGACGGTTTATCGCATGGCGTTCCCATGGATGATATACCGTGCGGAGCGAATTATCCGTTATGGAAACCGCCTAGTAATTACTTTCCACGAGGGGAAGCTCCGCCACCTTACGAAGAAGCAGTAGCGGCAGCACGAGCGGAACAAGCGCTTTTAGCGATGAATCCACAAACCTTGCCACAAATCAATTTTCCAAATACCTATTTGACGAATGCTAATAGTCGTACAAGTATATCGTTGGTAGGAAATCCACAAAGTGGTGGTATCAATGGTAATACAGCAACGGTAATGTGCGATGCTGGCGTAACGGATCAAACTGGCTTAATTTCAACGCCGAATAGACCAATATCAAATCCAAACATATATGCTTATTATCGCCAATCGAATCAAAATGAAACATTGTCTCCGAGTGTTAACGTAGGAACTTCTACCACGAGTTTCACTCTAGGGACAAGCACTTACGAAAATTTACCTACCCCGATCGGGATTCTTAACTTTACTACACATCGTTTAGATATGACCGCGCAACCTTTGCCTAATTTACAACCCACTGTTCCGAAAAATTATCAAACGCATACAACTCTTCCACGTCAAACCGGAGCATTTACGATATCTGCAACTTTGTCAAGCTCGAATGCAAATACTCATCGTACAATTCCTAGGACTTTAACGACTCGCACTGGCACAAAGTTACAAGAAATTAGAAACGATTGCACTCAGAAAGACTTTCTACGATCTACGACCATGACCACAACCACGACCACAACTACGACGATGACGATGACAATGCCAGTCACAACGACCACGACCACGACGACAGCGACGTCGACTACGACAACTGACATTGTCTCGTCGAATTTACCACGTTCCATACAACAAATTACTATAACCAAACTAGAAAATACGATGGAAAACAAAAATCCAGCTACATTTTACGAACATTTACGAATACAACGTTCTCCTGCTTCTTCTGCTTCTTCTGCGGGATTGCAACAAACTGAAAGGCAACAGCCGGATCGTAAAATGGAGAAATCGCAGGATTTTAAGGTACGTTACAAAGTAATTATTTATTTCGGATAATGCTTTACGTGTGCGTGCGCTAAATAATCGATCATATATGTTCCAGCCACCATTAAATGTAGCTAATGAAATTAACGAAGACGGAAGTTTTGAATCGGTAACGTGTGCTTGTAGTATGCAAGCACTTCCTACCCTTCACGACGATACTGACGATTATAGAAGCGAGTGTGAAAATTGTAAGAGCGCGACAGGTTCTCGATATTATTTGGATAACGAAGATGAATTAGTCACGTCTCCACACGAAACCATGACGTTACACAGAAGACCAGATGAAACGACTTCGAGTACTACGCCTCAGTATTACAGAACTTCGCTTACACTGCCTATAAGTACCCGTCAACGAACAAGGTAATTACAAGGGTTATTTTTCCTCTTCTCGTTACTTTATTTTCTGCGTATTATTATTGTTATCGTTATCGTTGTTGTTATTAAGGTTTATTTCATCCGTTCATCGAATCACTTTAGTTTACGATTCCTTTTTGTAACGTTTCATAGATTCTTCCTCTGTTTTTATATTTGGTATTGTTATTCGGTGATCAAATATATTATTAAAAAGTTAACAAAATAACAAACATTACATGTATTTGTTAACCTAAACCTTCAAAAGCGTGTATTTATAAAATATTTGATCGATGGTTATTTGCGTTCAGGAGTACCGGAGTTCGAGAAAATTGGTTCAACACAATGCCCCAAAGTTCTACAGAATCCTCGGACGAAAATTAATCGCGGACATATGGCGTATTATTCCCACACTTTGTATAGCTATGAAAATCATCTACAACGCATTGCCGTGATCGGAATTCAGTATTATTGTAGATGAACAGTGTTCATGTTTTATTGCGTTACAGTCAACAATATAATATTGTTGTTAATAGAATTTCAGTATTACAGCGATACGTTTTCTATCTCGTTCATTGTCGAAACCCGAATTATTCGTGTATTCGGGCAGTGTACGATTTCCGTGAAAAACGAGTCACGCCTTTGCTGTCACAGTTCTTCTTTACACATTAAACTGTGGGAGCAAATTTTAGGTATACCTACTATATATACATATAGCATCACGACGTACGACTTCGGTAAGTTTAAATCAATAAATAATAAGGAACAAACTAACTGTATAGCGTCTCTAGAATTTTTTTTTAACTATGTTCGATGCATATCATTCGTTAAAAATTAATCAAAAAGAGTAAAAAATGCAATTTTTACGGCTTTATCTCTATTGGAGTCGCGTAACGAATAATTTTATTTATATCGTCGCAAGAAATGGCGCACACGTTTTTCAAAATCGAGTATAAAGCGTGATGAGAAAACACACTTGGTTCACACTATGCGTACTACTACGAACAACAGATTATGTTAAATAGTTACGGTCCATTTTATCGTGGACGATGATGGATCGATAATGAGTTATGGAATAGCATTTGATTCATGTATTAGACATTAAGTATTTTCATCGACCGGTGTGTATATAGTGTCATTATAATATACATTTAAGTGTAATTGAACCAATGACCTTTAATACGAACTTTCGTCCTGTTTTAATTTGACCTTGCAACAATTTTATAAATGTATTTATTACCGTATGTAGTCCGTGAAATACATACGTTTAAAGATACATATCAGTATCCGACTACTCAGTCATATTAAAATTACACGAAAAATATATTTAATTTAACTTGAATATTCCATTCCATTTTATTAAAAATATGTTTCGTACATTCCGCTGTAATCTACGGTTTCTACTGGTTCGAATAGTGTGGATCAACCTTAACGCGCATATATTTTAATTTTTTCTCACCGATCATGCAACATCGTTGATTTTGTTTCTTTGGGTTCTAGATGTATGCGTGTACGTGTATGTACGTATACACGTATACGTATGTGTCGTATACACATCGCGTTATATCACCTTGAAACATAAATTAACACTCAGGAAAATTGTAACTTTACGTGAACTTCATACGTGAAATTCTTTTCACGATCCATTCTCCTTCCAAATAACTTATGAATAAGAAAGGCAAAAAGATTGGTCTCGTAATAATTGCGCAAAAAATTTCTACCGACTGATTTTAACAAGAAAATGAAAATTTTTAAGTCTATACAATCGTATTACCTACGGTAACGAGAACAAGTCCGTACATTGGTGACTGCTTGTGATAACATATAAACTTTATATATGTACATGCTCTAAACATACGGTGAATGGAATGCTCGTTATCCGCGATCAGTGATTAAGAATTTCTAAAGTGTGTATGAAAGAAGAAACGAAATTACGATGAATCCCTGAAATTCGATTTTGTTCAATGTTACGAAGATAAGTTTTGTTACGACCATTAGTGTTCTATGTTTGTTTGTTTGCTTGTTCGTTTGTACACATAATTTGTGTAGTTATGCGTCTCATGATTTTAATAAGTTATACTTAGTAAGTTGAAAGAAGAATAATGAAATCAAAATTTATTTTTTATACTTAATCGGCATTCGCGATGCCTGTAAATAGTTTAATGACAAGAAAAGAATAAACCGGTGTAAAATATAAAAATAAGATCGTTTAATTTAGCGAATCACTAGGGATCATCGATTTTCATTTTTCAGTGATAAATTTCAATCAATTTCGGAGCATAGGCGGGCTCGTAAGTTGTGCGCTGATTTATCGGCATTTTGTATATTCTACACAAATACAAAATGAAAGTGAATGGAAAACGATACAAAAGGAAAAAGATAAATTTATTAGAAGTTTTATAAATCTAATAATCCTTTATCGCGCATGCCATAATAGCAAGAATTTTAAACTGTCATTATGCACAATTACGTTAAATAGATTTTTGTTGTTCAGGACGTTTATAATTTAATGAAACTGACTATACATTTCCGTTAATCGTTATTTGTAACTTTAGATCTGACTTTTATTATCGCGCGTGTATCGTATTCACTGGGCACCTGAAATAATCGTTTCACTTCTCTCTACTATTGTAACAACGTATACGATACATATATGAGTTTTTAACAAATTTCTGGAAATTGTGAAATAGACGAACCGGTAAGATTTGCATGAATATTTCTATGAAGTAAAGCTGGAAAATGTACCATCTGGTTTATGAAATTCAATTTGTTGCGATTACTAAAATTTCAATTATTATTAAAATCCGTGATTAGAGATTAACGGTAACTTGTTGAAAGTACGAAGTATCGAACGATAAGGTAATATTTCGAAATTGAAAGGCATTGGTAAAGCACGAAAATAAACAATGATACACATCGAACTATTACATAAACGTATTAACAGTACTAATTGTAAGTTACGAACAATCTTTGATAATTTCTAATTATTATTCAAAATGTTGAAGTTAAAAACAGTATAATGCGTAAGACGATTACGTGAAACGTAACGTTTTAAAGGAATTATTTGAGAGGATTTTAAAAGAGTCGTTGATTTTTTATTAGAGAATTCGGATAGAATGATTAACTTTTTACTGAGTTTGCATTAAACTAAAGGCACTGATCAAGAAACGATGCGAATCTATAAAATTATAGCAACGAGATGCGAGATAAAAGTGGTATGCCACAAGTAATAAAAGTATTGTTAGTGATAAAAACCGAAAAAAACATAACTGATAAAATTATGTTCTAAAAAAACGCATGATAAGCGATCCAAAAGCGGTATGTAGATATATTTATACTTCCAATTGCAAACAGATTCTGACAGTCAGAATCTCTTCCTACGATAATTGACGCATTTCGTGTGTTCATTAAACTCGACTGTATTACATTCTTGAAAGAAATGTGTTCATTATAATATAATAAACTTCTTTCTATATGCATTAAATCGTTCGACGAGCGAGGGTACAACAAGCTGGACTTAATACAAACTCGAACAGACGTTCAAGACTCTTGTAGTTGAAACGGTACAAACACCTGAATTACTTAATTGTTCGTCTAGTGATCTAAAATATTGTAATATATCTGTCTGAGTAGGTTTAGAAAATAAAAAAAGATCTTTATTGCGCTTACTCGTGTAAGTCAAATATTATCAATTAATGTAAGTTGTATTAGGACACTTATGTCAGCAGCTATCATTTAATTGTAATAAATGAATAATTTACATAAACTACTAATTTTATTTATTACGATCAAACAATTAAGACTATCCATCTCTTCAAGAGTTGGTAATAAAGGGAATGACCTGCTATAAGCCTTTCAAGTATTTCACAGGTATTCAAGCTACTTAATAATTTTTCTTTACACTAGCATTTTATAAATATCTAGATATCTTGCACATAACTACCAAAGTAACTAGTTGTAAATATCGGACAAAGTGTGGTAAGTATATAGACAATGTATCGTCTCTATTATATTAACGTAATATGTATGTATAAACTGTATATGCGTACATCAAAAACGCGCGCTACACACAAATGTGATATATTTAACTCGAGTATTCTATATATTTATAAACGGACAATCCGATGAGTCTAAATTTCGATGTAACAGAAATCGCGGACGTTGTTTTTCTAAATAGTGTATGTTACTATTTGGATATTTAAATTTTTTTTTAAACAACATTCAATTATCTTTATTGTACAACTGAAATCAAATGGTCAACTAAACGAAGAAATACAAATGGTTTCTAATGATTCTAAGGCATCCATATGAAGTACGTGCACGCCGCACGCGTATGCGCTTGTTAACCTAACCTATAGAACGTATCTTTTTGGGGAGATATATTTGGAGTTTGCGAACGATACGCGCACGTTTTACGATCGATAAGTAATCGGTTTCGTAGATTCAATATTTTTCGTACTACGAAAAATAATAAACGTTGAAGTTGGATGTGAACAAGTGTTACTCGCTTATATCGCTTTAAAGTTGATAATTCAAAGTTCTTTATTTGGAAGACCTTACATACATACTTCGAATGGAAGTATGTACAAAAATAAAATCACAAAGGTAATGTATGATTGATTGCTGTGAAACAAAATCAAAGTACATACATATTAATAAAAGGAAAATATGGAAAAATGAGATTAAAATTAAAGACCGTAACCTCTTCTAACTAAATGCAACGATGATACATTGATACGCAATCGCTAATATAATCGGACGCCATCTCGTGCTATGCAAAGGTATCAACTAAAATCAGTAGTTTTCCAGTTCTGATTCGGCATTCGCTTAAAACGCAATCAACTAGACCAAGAATTGTGACGGATTACGATCCATTACGGCAGTCAGAAATAAGTAAGAGGAGCAAAGAGGACACGTAAAAGATGGCGGATGCCGTTGTAGACGGGACTCCAATGTCCCGATTTTTTTGTCATAAATGCAGTATTGAAATTGAACGCTTATTACCTGTAAGTATATTTATTACCCTTTTTCTACACTAACAAGTGTAAATTAATTACAATTCTTTTTTCTAAGTCTAAAATTTCTTGTTTTGATCTGTCATCCGATATCGCGCGTGAAAACTCCTTTCCCCTTACGTTTCATTTCATGCATCATAATTACTCTCGTACACTACTTTCAAATTATTTTGTTAACAACTGCTGTGTCGTTCTATTATTAAATTCAATTTATAGTATGCATTATGTAAATTACGCAGTTTTCAAATTTATACGATATGTCGCAAACATAAAATTTTTACTTTACATTTTTTAATTACATTATTTTTAGATTTTTTTTTATCGTGTTTCCAATTTATGATTAATTTCAGTCACATTGTATCATATTATTATCGTTCAAAATTAATGACACATAACGAGTACTATTTATTGAAATATTCCATGAACTTTTAAGCACTTATTATTAAGAACTAATATAAAATTATATTATGCATTTAAGAAAAAACAAGTAATATACGATGATACCTGATTATTTGTAATGTTAATTATGGTTTAATATATTGCTTAACTATTGTATTTTCTAGGATTATACGTGTCCAAGATGTGCCAGTGGCTTTATCGAAGAATTAGAAAGTAGTAGCAATGACAGTGGTTCTGGAATAGATATTAGTAGTGAAGACTTAAGTGACATCAATGATGATCCGCCATATGATGTAAGTAATGCTTTTAGATGTATGTTATGTTCAAATTTTAATTAAATACTTTCTATACAGTTCTCACAAGGTTATGATGCAGAGCGTGATTTCATAGAGATGGTATTAGGGATTTCAAATCGAGGACAAAGATCTACTACTTCAAACAGGAATACTGGTCCTACTAGTAGGAGAACATGGGTTCATTGGCCACGTAACGTTCATGACAGACGTCGTTCAAACAGGTATGTCATTCATGTCTATAATATCTGCAGTTTATATAGTTCGATTCAATTTGTCTATGAATATAAGTTTTATTTTTATCATTCTGTCAGATAATCTAAACTAATTCATTTTGTAGTTTATTTTTATTAATTAATTTTTATTTGTTATATACATTTTATTATATATTTATCATACAATATACAATATTTAATATAATTTTGGATTTGATAATAAAATATATTTATTTTTATATTTACTAATAGTTTTGGAAGACAAGAACCTGTGTCTGTAGAGAACTTCATACAAGAATTTATACTTAATCTCTCAGGAGTAGGTGTAGCTCAAACTGTAACGCAACCTGGACAGCTACCTGTGTATGTAAAACATTAATTTTTATTGTATGTTTATTGTTGCCTGTGAAAATCAGTATGTATATTTGAGTGAGTATAAATGTATGTTTGTATGAATGTGAGAATACACTTATTGTAAACAATACTAACATCCCAGCTTTGTCTTATATAATTCTCTTTGCTTTGTGCATATTATTTGTATACAATATTATCCTGAGTGAATTTAAGAATAATTTTCCATTTTTATTTTATTTGTACATGTAACTTTTATGTTCGACATACAAAACAGGATTTTGTGTTATTCATTTTATGAAATCTATACATGTAGAAAATGACTTCAATTAGATTATTATTGTTGTCTAATAGTTTTGTACCTCTTTAGGTTGATTATTTTGTTTCATAAAAAATTAATGTCATATATACATTGATGTATATAGACGAATTTATTTTTTGACATTATCGCAGAAAAGTTTTGTGCGAAATTTACAATTAGAATTTCTGTATATATACAATATTTTTAAAGTGGCATGTGAATAGAAATAACTATTAAGTACTATATAGAAGGATGCTTGCGCGTGCGTGTGTGTGTCTACGTGTTTATGATGCATATAAATGGTTGTGTGCATGTGCATATTCATTTACTTATTTAAGAAAATATAGAATATAATTGATTATATATAAATATATTTACTGTTGTAGAGATTGAAAATAACTAAAGTTGTTTGATATGTTCAATATGTAATAATGTTCTTTTTTATGTAAGTATTGCAAGTAAAAAAACAAGTATAAAGTAATCCTGGTTTGTTCTTGGTCGATTTTTCACTAAATTACAGTGAAGTCAAGTTATATGTCTACCAAGCTTTCAATTTGTTTTTTTTTTTTTTTTTTTTTGCTTGATAGCTTGATAATTAACTAGACCTCACTAAATTTAGGTTTTATAAATTTTTAAGTACATAAAATATTTATTATATGAATATATAAATAAATTACAAATAATCTTAGAAACATAAGATCAACAATTACTGTTTTGTTTGCATTCTATTAATGTGGATGCATGTACAAAATGTAAAGCATATTAAAAGCAAAATGATTCAAAGGAACTTATTCACCCAGGATAAAAGTTGTTACTATTTTGCTTGATACTTAGTATTACTAAAATAAAGCACAATAATGTAGATTCAATATTAGACTGTTCTTGGGAAATCCCGGAGATTATGTTTGGGGTCAGGATGGTTTGGATGCAATCGTAACGCAGTTGTTAAACCAGCTGGATGGAACAGGACCACCCCCTTTACCACGAAAGCAAATAGATGAAATACCAACAACAACGGTGACTCAGTCTCATGTCGGTAAGTGCAACCTATAAATTATAAATTGCAACACATACAATTATATCATATATTAAATTATAAATGTAAGCAATAAATTACTATGTAAATTGTATTGTATTTTATAGACAGCAAACTTCAGTGTTCTGTCTGTTGGGAGGACTTTAAATTATCTGAATCAGTGAAACAACTATCGTGTCAACATTTATATCATGGTCCATGCATTATACCATGGTTAGAATTGGTGAGTTACGGAAATCCTAGAAGAAGTCTGTATAATTGATATAGCTATATTTACTATGATCTTTCTCTTTCTGTGTTTTTCCCTTTTTTGTTTCAGCATGGTACTTGCCCTATTTGTAGGCAGAATTTGGGAGACCAAAATTCGGGGGAAGTTAATCAAGATACTGTAGGACCTAGCTTAGCGGCTCTTTTTAGGTATGTTATACAATGTGGGTGATATATTCGTATCTGAAGATAAAAATGACAAGAACATACATTGATGTTCTAGTTTTCAGGGATGTAAGTATTCCCTTTACGGAAAGCAGAAGAATCATATTAATTTATTTTTTTTTTTTTTCTTCTTTTTTAGGGCAGCCAATGTATCAAACAGTACTAGAACATCGTCGACATCATCTTCGGGTGGAAATAACTCCAGTAGTAATTCAACGAGTGAGATTTGAGATTGATTGTCCTGCATTTACACTTTCTCTACTTAGCAGGATACACAAATATACAAACAATATACATTTATTTTTCACATCTTCAGATTTATTTTTCGGCACTGTTCACTCGAGCAAGGCTTATATACTTCGTAAATATTGTATTCCGATGCTAACATAAATTTCAGCTTTATATTTTAATCAACAATGTAATGTAAATCATAAAAAATAATGCAATATCAAAGTTAAACATGCATATTTTGCTTCACGTGAATGATAATGAAGTACAGTCATAACAAGTCGAAAAAAAACATACGTATTTGGAGTTGAAGTAATCCTTGTTGCTATATATATACGCTGTCTCATAGTTTCTAAAAAAGCGCAGTTTATTAAGTTTCTTAAACAAATGTGTCTAAAATTAAAAAAAAAAATGTACGTTTCTTTATAAAAGTTTAAATTTTGATGTTTAATAAATTTAATGTAGCAGAATAATATTTACAAAAGAAAAGATTGTAATATAACGCAAAGAGTGTATTGCATAGACAAATAACGCTACAAACGTTAATAATTTTAAGTAAGAGGTTTGTAAATCTCCTCACCAATTATGTGTGATAAATTAAACAGTTTTTCTTAATACTATTTGACTATATCATATATTTTTTCAAGTTTCAGCATTATTCAAAATCGAGTCTTAATTAGAATCATTAGTATTCTTTTGTCAATTATCGATAAATCTTATTTTCAATGTTATCATGTATGAATGAATATTAATTTCAATAACGAAAAATATGTAAAATGAAAGAGTACTAAAAATATGAAACATTTGTATCATCGTTTGAAATGATATTTTATATTTATTTAAATGTAATCGTACATTATTTTACACTAAATATGATTAATATCATTGTTCATTATCTGGGTTCATAAAGTGATGTAGAGATACATACATCGTTTAAAAAGGGATCGTGATATAGAATGAAAACGACTCCATTTTTAAATTATTATAAACATAGTATGTACAAATACAAATTCTTTTGTTTCGTAAGTCACAGTTAGTAATAAATTTAAACATCCTAATAGGTATATACATATATATAATTATAGTAGAGAACGTGAATAAGAGATGATTACATGCTATATGTTTATAGTTTCCAATGTATTGGTATTATGTTACCGAAGTTGCTATTTACAATACTAATAGAGGACACTTCCTTAATTTGCCATATTATATCAAACATGATAAGATGTAATATTATAATTTTAAGTTAATAAAATTTAATTTATTTTCAATTAGCTATACTGAATTGGGAAGGATGAGATTGTAATCAAAGGAGTTGGAATATCAGTTCTTATATGAGCATGTATCATTTACTTATCAGAAAATTGTAAACAATTTTAAAAATGAATAAATGGTTTTTGTTTAGAAGATCTGGGTTTAATATTAATTAAAAATGTATAAAAACATATTGTTTTTATTATTTGTTGGTAATGGCATTTTAATAAATACTTATCTATACAAATATTACCGCCTAAAATGAGCTATAGAGTTCTGTTTCATAATTACTGCGTCACAATTTCTATCAATTTCTATTTTTGTGACAAAAATTTTCTCTAATATGTAATCTGAAACAGAACTAAAATTCCCTCGACTTTTACTAATTGCTATCTGCCCAATGGCCCAATCTAACTGCATTTTGCCGTCTTCTCCCACTATACCTCTGATTTCAGGTAGAGATCAGTGATATACATACATATATAAGTACATGAAAAATTTTTATTTTTAAATTACGTAGTTAAAAAATGAAAAAAAGTGATAGATGTAAAAATATAGCTAAATTGGAACAATATGTCATTTTGTATATATAAAAGAAAGAAAGAAGGATAGCATATATCCATGTATTTGTATTTACGTAGGCATTTAAAGATTTATTTACATTAATTGTTGAGTTTTTAATTAATGGAATGATATTGTTCTATTTCTGAATAATTGTGTTTAATTAGTAATATACATTAAGTAATGTATAGTTAACATAGATTTTTATATTAAGGAGAATTGTGTAGTGCATCAAACCTAACCAATGAAATGGCGTTTCAAGAAATTTATATAATTAAATTTCATTGATAAGAATAATACCGAGCACATTGTATCATTCAAGTGTACATACAAATTAAGTGAAATGCATATTCTGGTATATATTCTAAACATTCATAAAGAATGGCAGAGAAAGAGGCAAAAATTGAATACGTGACAGAACCATGTCCTATCAAGCCACGTAAAATAGGACCACAAAACATAGTGATACGTCTAAAGCGCCGGGAAACATTTGGTTGTCCTTATCCAGGAACACACGTTCATAATGCTAGACAGTTTTATCAAAATATTTTTCCAAATTTCACTGTCATGAACGTAGAGAAACCTCCATGTTTCCTCAGAAAGTTTAGTCCTGATGGTCGTTACTTAATTGCCTTTAGTGCAGATCAAACTTCCATAGAAGTTTATGAATATCGTGGTGCATCTGCAGCTGCTGATTTATTAGCAAATTGTGAAGGAGAATACATTGGTCATAAAAATGATGAATATAGTTTTCAAATTAGAAGTAACATTTTCAGTCGTTTTTTTAAAGTATGCAATTAATGCTTTTGAACTTTCATTTGTATGAAAAACAGGAAACAATGAATATCTAATATCATTTATAGGCCAAATGGATTGTGAATGTAGTTCAAAGTAATGAGCAGTTAAACAGAGAATGTAGTCTATTTACCGATGATGGTAGATATGTAATCGTTGGTTCAGCTGCCCATATTCCAGATGAATTGAGACCACATTTTTATCAGGTGTGTATCATTAATCAATTAATTTATTAATTATTTGATAACATTACATTCTATTTTTAAAGATTTATACCAACAACGAAGCATTGACTCCAAATCCTAGATCACCACTTGAAGATTATAGTTTACATCTTGTTGATTTACGTGGGGGCAAATTATGCGATACTAGACATTTTAAAGTGGACAAAATATATTTATCACACAATCAAGGTGCATGTTTGTAATTATATTTTATTTCAAGTTTAAAATTATTTTAATTATTTAATACAAAAACTGATCAGTGGATATTTCTATGTACATAGGTCTCTATTTGTACAAAGATATACTGGCAGTATTATCTGTACAACATCAAACTATTCATATATTTCAAATTCTTGATGGAATGTTTATCAATGTTAGGACAATAGGAAGGTACCATATATGTACTCAGTAAAATATATTTTCTCATTTCAAAATAATATTATTGGCTTTATTCCATAACAATAACTCTGATTTTACTTTGTAATAGGTTCTGTTTAGAGGATGATGCCTATTTAGTTACAAGTGCTTACCCAGGAGTAAATTGCCGCCCATTTAGGGATGTTACAATAAATAGTCTGAAGCACAAATTATTAGTATACCTATATAAAAGAGCAGCGTATATTAGTGATACAACAAAGGATCCATACGAATTAAGACGTTTCTATCAATATTTTGACCAAGTATGCCATAAAACTTCAATACGTATATAGTGAAACCTCTACCACTTTGGAAGAGACCTACTGAATTAAATGATAAATGGGGGAAAATCATGGATGAGAGAACGTAATCGAAATTAATTTTTCGGAATTAGATGAAGTAGACGACGCATATAAAAAAGAGATTACTTTGGAAGCGATCAATTGGGTTTCACTGTATTATAATAACCTTGAAAGTAATAATATGTATTTTGAACTTATGTAACTTTAACAAACTAATATTTCAGTTGAACGCATTACGAATGTGGAAGATGCAATTATTAGATACAAACCACATACTTGTAAGATATGCAAGTGAAGAAGTGGCAACGCTTCAAGCAAATGAACCTAATGCGCAACCCGCGCTTTTAGTAGTATATGACATGGTTACTGCCAAAATATTGGCTGCATACGATAATGCGTCTACACAATTATTAACACAATTTGAAAATTTCAGCGATTTCTTCAGAAATGCGAGAATGAGTACCGACTGTCAGTATATGTGTTCTCCGTCTAATAACATATATGCAAGGTATAGTATTAATGGAAAATGTAATATATAAATATGGAGATGCAGAATAGTAAATAGTTATAAAACGTTCATTGTATTGTTATCGCAGATTGTTACAACAAAGATTCAAACAAACAATTGTAAGTGCTAGATATGGAGGGGTTACAGAGGCTACAAAAAGATTACTTGCTCAATTGCCAATATGTGCGCAATCCTACTCTAGTTCTCCGTATCTAGATTTATCTCTATTTTGTTACGACGACAAATGGGTATCGATGATGGAGCGTCCCAAAGCATGCGGTGAACATCCTATACGGTATAATTTTAATCCTTAACGTTTATAACAATTACCTGCTATGAAATTTGATTTTCACGTAACATACTTATTATGAATAATAATTGATTATTCAAGTATTCGATAATTGTACAATCTCCTGGTATGATTTTTATAGGTTTTATGCCCGAGATTCTGGTCTTTTAAAGTTTCGAATGTATGCGGGAATGTTAGGTCGTACGACACCTACAGCTGCGAGACGATTAGTCGCATTTACTTTCCATCCGACAGACCCATTTGCTATTTCAGTTCAACGAACCAATGCAGAATATATTGTCAGTTTTCACGTTAGACACGTTTAAACTTTCGTCGAAATGTCTTAAGAGTCATATTATTTTTATACTTTCCTTTTTAATAAAATTGATCTCATAATAAATTTTTAATATCAATAACTGACATTTTGGAAAATTTTTTAAGAAACATATTTACTATCATTTTTTAAAAGAATCATAATTGGTTTTCACAATTCATTACTATCTTTACAAATTTCAATTCAAAACTGTTAACTGATCAAAAATATTATGACTAATTAGGTGCCAGAAATAAATGGTGTAAGAAATTAGTAAAAAAACGTTTGTTACAGAGCTATTTTTAGCTCATAATGCCTTTCTAGTTAAACCATTCATTTGAATATCCTGCTTTAAAGTCCTGATATAAATTTCGATTATCATAATCACTGTAAGAAGAAAAAGAGAATAGACAGGGTGGTACATATGAACATTTAAGAAAAGGTGTAAAAACCTTAATTATATGTACAATATTTCACTTGATACCAAAATTTGAAACAAAATCGTTCTTTTGTATAACAAAATGTATATTTTTTGTATATTAATTATTCTGTGAATTCTTTTTAATGTTCTGTACATATCTATAAAATTGTTAAATAAAGTAATTTTGTAAAAAAAAAGAACAGTTTTGCACAAGTACTACAAAATTTCTTTATATGTAAATAATATTTTGAGTTAACTGAAATGATTATAATATATATTCATTTAGCTTTGACAAGTTTAATGCTCATAAATTATAATTATTATCATGCTATAGAAAATTATAGTTGTGATGTAACTTAGTTTATTTAGCGCATATTAACTCGACTATTTTGTAATAATGCCATTGACTACAGTTAACTCAGTCGCTGGTAACACCATAGACGGCTATAGGTAACATAGGTACATGTATATTATATATACATAGAGCTGATTGCTAATTACTATGGGAAAAGCCTTAGAAGTGGGTTTATATTGGCTAACTAGTCTAAGCCGGAAAATGATACTCCTTTCGCTGTCTCTCTTACTCTTGAGTATTATGTACTAGTATTCTCTTTTTAATTTTAGCTATTCTCTTTTTAATTTTACTAATGGAAACGTGGTTTAAAGCGAGTTCGGCCATCTTTAATATATCCATGTATCATGTCGATTCGAAGAAACGTGGTGTGAAACGTCTATGTATACATATACCAAAAGACGCGTGGACGTGTGGAGACATGCTATGTCGCGTGTTGAATTATAGTGCGTGATATTTGGAGTTAACAATTTTATTATAATACAAATGAAATTTGTTACTTTCTCGTTTATAAGTTAGTGCATGGACGAAAAGAGGGCGTGATAAAAGAGTTAAATTTTACATTTCAGTGTTATGTATGTCGACGGTAAGTTTATATCATTTTTAAAAGATAAATTATTCAGAACTAAAAGAAAATAATATTACAATTTATTTATTTCGTACTTTGTAGCATGCATTAAACAGAACATATACTTATTAAATAAAAAATTACGTGTTCGAAAGCATCTCTTGCTTGCATTGTATTGCTTCCTAAATACATGTTGCATTAGTAGATGAACGACATACTTAGGCACGTACTACATGCAACAAGCATATATACGAAATACAGATAGGTGGAAATGATAAATTATTAAAAATAAATAAATCAATTAATTATGTTTATTTAAGCGCAACTCAAGCGACAGTACAAATGTATGTAATGTTTAATCGAATTTTACAAATTGTTGTCACGATAATCGAAGTATATACACAAATGTATACGTATAGTATATAGTACATGCTATATGTGTAATGTACGTATATAAATGAAGTCATAAGTGAGTTCGTCCTATTTTTGAAATACGTATATAATTTCTATTAACTGTACTTATTCATATTATTTTATTACAATTGATTTTGTACCTTTTTTATATATACTACAATATTTTTAGTTTAAAGTTGTTCTTACATATTTAGCTGTGCACTCTGTTAGGTTATGAATGTATTACAGTATTTCTTCACGTTTTTATTTACAGTAAGATATTTTTTAGAAATAGAAATTATTGTGGAGTCAATATTTTGAGCTATAATATTGTATAGATGTTATTCTATTAGGTTATGATATATGTTGCGTGTTGTGAGATATAGTGCTATCCATTACAATAATCATATTTTAATGTTTGTTTTCTTCTTTTGTTACAGTTATGGTACAGATACCAGATACATGCCAAAAGAACATTGTGATTAAGTATTAAGAAGCCTTATTATTACGCCAAAAATGCGTTGATAATTTGTGATTAATTTACTACTGACGTTTCTTTTACTTTCTTGCAAAGTTACATTTACGATTGTGTGGAATTATAAATGAAAAAGGATTGTATACATCCATCTAAATATTAATTCTTATGTTTAAAACATAATGAATAAAACTATATTTGATACTTGTACAGTACCTGCAAAAATGAATGATGATAAATTAAAAGAGGATTATGCTAGTCGTAATAGAGAGCTGGATCAGAAATGTTTTATCGCTTGGAGTCCTCTAGAAGAAAATAAATATTTATTCAGACAAAAATATGTATCATGTAGCAATTCAGTTCCACGTAGAAACAAACGTTTCATTCGGTACAAGATAAGTCGATCATTGAATTTTGATACAAATATTCACAGCTCTAGCTCAGAGAGTAGTTCTTTCGAAGAAGACAAGCATCTATCTAGATCTGCTAAAATAATGAGAGCTTTAAATTTCAATAGCAGTCCCTCATATTATGGGAAAACAAAAATAAAGAAGTCGCTGAATTTTAACTTAACTCCTAGCCCAAAAAGATTTATGCCTTCAAAAAAGAGTATACGAAAGGCATTAAGTTTAAATTTTAATTCTCCATTGTCTGTCTCAAACAAGTTTTTGAATTTTGATGACAATCCAAACCAATCTGTAAATAGCAGTTTAGTATATTCATCTTCTGAATCAATAGATGAAAATCAAAATGAAACACCATTGCAACAAAATACAAAAGAACGAGGAATATTACATTATTCTACACCTAATACAAAACTGAACAAAAAATCTGCATCATCTTTACGTAGTCAACTGAAGGAGACCATTGATAATATTATTTGCATTACTGCAACACCTAACTCACAATCTATGAAACGTATTAAAAACAGATTAGATGAAGCAAGTACTTCCAGAAATTTGTTTTATGAATTATATGATAATAGCAATGATAGACCAAGTACACCTGTAAATGTAATCAGTATAATTCCAGAAAGTACTAGTGCTATTAAAAGGAGTCATAAAAAGGTAAGTAAATGTAGTTTCAGATGCTTTATGTTAATTTTGGTACCATCATAGTATATTATATTATATTATATTCAATATGTTCTATAGGAAAGATTTTCAAGACGGAGCGAACGTGGTACGAAATTTTTAAATAGTTTTTCAAACGACGTAAACATAGTTGAAAGTGATTCTAAATCTGCATTAAATCGATACTCAAAACACATAGATCCATTAGAAGAGTCTTTAGATCCATATTCCAGTGAAATTTTTGATTCGAAGGACACATCATTGAATAATTCTGGAAATCAATCAGATACAGGTTCAATTTTTGATTACGCAGAAGAAGAGAAAACTAGTTTTAAAGAACTTGTGGGTGCGAGTCCTGACAATGTTCTATCCGAAGTGCGGAAATTCGTTGGTGACAAAGTAAAATTAGAAGGAAATACAGAAGATTCTTTGGAAATAGAACATATAAATGAAAACGAATTGCCAGAAGAACACACTGATATTCCTCAAGATAATTTATCGGATCAGGATCCCGGTAATAAGACTGATGTTAGGTCGGTAACTCCAGAACCAGTGGCAGAAACGTTATCAGTTACACCCGAGAATCGTATAAATTTCTTACAAAATATTCTTAAAGACTCCATTAAAAAGTCTCATAAAAAGATTAAGGATGATAATAAGAAGAAATTGTTTACTCCAAAAGTTTTACGATGTAGGCCCGAAACCGTGGAACAGAAAAAAGATGCAACTTGTTGGCGAAGTTCCGAACAGAACGAAAATGTTGACGAGAACAAGGAAGCATCGACAGAAGACAAAAATTCTGACTCGTCTAAGGAAGAACGGGCATGCACCCCCGAGAGGGTGAATTCGAGTCGACTTTTATTGTCGCAATTCAGTTCTGTTAAAAAATCTCATAGAAAAGATAAACATAATAAAATATTGTCAGGGTTTTTGAAACGTCAGGAATATTTTAACAAAGAAATGGATCTTTGTCAAAGTAACGCGGATGATACATCCGATTGCAAAGACAGCGCGGAAAAAGTTTCCTCGAGTTTTGATGCTACCGAAAATATTAAAGATCTTGATTCTTCAACGACGCAGATGGATGATACACCTTCGCTTAAATTATCCCCAAGTAAAAGAAGAAGATCGTTAAACATATCATTGGAGCACGAAGCAAACACGTCGTATGATTCCGAATTACAAGATACCGATACATCGAAAGAGGAATTTAAAATTTTCACCCCACTTAAAAGAAAGAGACCATTAATTACCCCAAATGTTAAAGGATATTTGCATTTTTACGATTTACCGTCTGGTCAAGACGAAATTTCAGAAGATGTTATCGCAAATGTTGCTTCGTCAAGGTGCTTAACACCCATTCCAAATTTTCGGGACAATTATACAAGGGCGGAAGAAAACGATATCATGGCAATAAAATACGATAACGATGTTAGCGATGAGAATTGCAGCGAAGTAAACAAAAGTAATTCTAGCGATATTAATGGTAGGTCGACGCCCAGAGATATGCCCACTACAGAACTATATTTTAACGTAGATTCCATCAAAAGATCACATAAGAAAAATAAACGTGGAAATAGTTCATGGAAGAGTTTTAATTCGCACAAAAATGGGAGTTACACGGAAGCAAAAGAACAACCGTCGGTAAACAGTATCGAAGACGAAGCATCCGAAAGTTCGCCCGGTTCGAACGAGTGCATCGCGGTATACGATCCAAATCAATCGGTCGATAGTGATTACCGCGTCGAAGCATCGAGTGATCACGAGCTTAACGATGAACCTGCGAACGTTACTGCAGAAAATGTTCCGTCGAACATCACGCCGCCCAATTGCTTGAAAATGAAAAATTATATGAGACTGATACAGGAGACTTCTATTAAGCGTTCGCATAAAAAAGTTCGGGATAAAAAGAAGACGGAAGGTTTAATCAACACAAGCGAATTATCCGATGACGGATCTATTTTCGGTGACGAAGAAAAGTTAACTTGTAACGAAGATCAGTCGATTTAACATTGATAATAATAGTAGTTGTCATATAAAAAATATTTTTGAGAAACTTTTAATACAGCAGCGTATTCGAAAATCACGGATTTCCACAGTAATTGACTGGTCTACGTTCGCGAAACATTCCATCGTTTCAACCGCACAAAGTATTCAAACACTTTCGTTATGTAACATGTTCTTTTACATTACGTACAGTTGGTTTTGTAATTCTTAAATTTGCGTGAGAAATACGATTTATCCGTACAATGTTGTAACAGCTATGTCGCGCAACATATAATATATAGAACTGAATGCTGTTACGTATGTATATTAAAGGCGATAATATTAGTTTTTTATTCAGTAAAGGAAAGAACTTGCAAAAGGATATTAAAAGATTTACGAATAAATGTGTTCGATGCATATTCCTCGATGAAATCTATATTTGAAGTGTACTAACAAACACGTGTTAAGTTTATAACCGTGCAGCAAATATTGCTTGCTTGCATAAAATAATAGAACAAAAAAAGAAAATAGAATCGTTTTTCTATAATATTTTTGTTAATCTTAGTTTCATTAAATAGTATTTTAGCGCGAGTTTATATCGATGCAAATAAGAGCAGGGCGTTATTTTGTATATCATACGAATCGAAAGATTTCGTTAAGAATTTAACATAGATTAAGTTAAGTATAATGGCTTTGATAACAATGTGTATCGGAATTAACCTTGATAGTATTTTTCTTCATTTAATATTTCCTCCGATTTCCTTTTTCTTGGCGTTTCAGTTATTTTAAGTACATTATCGCTAAATATAAGATTATTAATGTAGAAGTAATGAAATATGGCAATGCTTTGGAGCAGATAGCACTTAGAAGAGATTGAACATAGAGAGAACAATAATTACGTAAGTTTCAAGGATATCGCTATTTGAGTCTTAAAAAGTGTAGGAGGATATTTCTCAATGGTTTAAATGGTTCAACGGAAGATTGTTCTCTCTACGATAAAAAAGAAGAAAAAGATCTTTGTGGCAATACGCGTGTGCATTATGACAATATCGTATGTAATATGCAACTGATGAACGGTACAGAAATTTACTAATAGGCGAAACTCTGTATAGTTTAGACGCATCCACTTTTCGTATTAAACGCAATCCTTCGATGCTATGTACTTCCAGTGTCTTCCTTTTACGTATCTAACGTTGACCGACTTGTTAGAATGATCGCTAAACGCGTTAACTCTCCAATGAATTGATTGCACATGCGACTTGTGTACGATAAAAGGTACATAAATGACGGCGTTTAACTTATTCGTACGAGGAAGTGTACGCGCATCGAATATGTGGTCAGTTTTGATTAACGCTATGTCGTATAAAATTCACGCGATCGAATAAAACTATTATTTTATCAACGATCGCGTTGTCAACTATCGTAAATAATTCGATCAAAATAAATACGTATATTATCAGATATAGAATTAACTTTCCAATGTGAAAATCTGCATGCAAGTCAATTTCGTGCGTACAAATCACAAACAGCCGACGAACAAATTGTTAATTTATTTCTATGTTCGAATATTCTTTCGAGAGCATTCGAGATTTCTATAGTTTTTACAGTTACGTTTAATTTCTTTTATAATTGTAAGCTTTAATGATAGAGAAATATTTCTAGTGCAAAGATGAAAATCTCGCGAGTTGCGATTTTAACGTTATTCGTTTGGAATCGACTGTTTTTGATACATGCTTTACTGTAGACGAATGAATTAAAATAATTTTACATTTCTTCATGTATTTGTTCGTTATACTCGTTATGTTTAATATTCTTGGGAGTTCGGTTTACTATAGTTGAATATTAATCAAGTTATTTTCTGTAGTCATTTCTTACTTTTGGAACTTCGATTTGTTCATCGTTAAAAGATCGCTTAACATTCATAGACCCCTAAACGAATTACTACTTTTTTGTGTAAGATTAAGGTAGTCCCGTACGTTGCTTTTCTTCCTTTTATTTAGAAATTATTGCCAGAATTTTCCTGCGCTTTTGGGTGAAAATATTATTTATGTGATAGTTATGTGAATGTATTATAAGAATGCAAATCGTGATCGAGCATTTTGAAACAATTAATATGACATTTTTCGTTAATTAATTTATTAAACCATTAGTAACTTGTAACTAATAAATTAGGTTTTTAAAATAAGATTAGCTTTACGTTTATGTTATTCGAAGTTCAAATGCGTTGATATAATTTCCTATGCTTATTTGTTTCCTATACGCGTAACATATCTCATGTCATAAATACTTGAAATGAATTGTTTCGTTGCAGTAACGATAGTGGACAAATCGTACACTTTAAATAATTTGTTTGATAATCGGCGTATTATTGTTAGAAAAATTATACGTAATATGTTTTTTTAAAGACTCATAGATAATAACTACAAAATTGCATATTTCATACAATCAGTAATATGTATATACGGAATAAAAGTAATTGTTGGTTTAATAATAAATATTTTAAATTAGTTTCATATGTACGAACTTGTAAATTTAATTTGAATTAAATCTTCTGCACGCGTACGCATGCGTATGTCAGTAACAAAACATGTGTTTGATAATTTCATTTTAAAATATCACTATATGCATAGGAATGTCAAATGATGCATGTATAGTATATGTAATATAACCTGTAGCAAGCATGGGGAAATTAAATGTGACAATTTTGCGCTATTTAACACGGGATGATTTTCGTGTTTTAACAGCGGTAAGTGTCACCATTTTGTTACGTATATAAAATTAATATGACGTGCTTCATCAGACATATATTTTTCCTTCAAATACATTGTTTTGTACTGTTTGAGGTTATGTCAAAGTTTGATGCCACACATCATTTTCATTATAATGTATCTCATAATGTATGCAACATAATATATAGTTAACGCTGTTAATTTTACGAAATAATTTCATGTTGTTATTGTAGATTGAGATGGGAATGAAAAATCATGAACTTGTTCCTGCTTCGCTTGCTGCCCAGATAGCAAACTTACGTTATGGTGGTGTTCACAAGCTAATGAAGGAATTATGCAAACATAGACTTCTCAGTTATGAACGAGGAAAACACTGTTAGTTGACATAAAAAGACTTCAGTCAGTAATGACAGAAGTGACAAAACATTTCTTGTATTCTTTTAGATGATGGTTATCGCTTGACGAATGCTGGATACGATTACTTAGCATTAAAGGTATTAGCTCAAAGAGGTACTGTCACTTCCTTTGGAAATCAAATTGGAGTGGGCAAGGAATCTAACATTTATATAGTTGCCGACGAAGAAGGAAATCCAGTATGCTTAAAATTGCACAGGCTAGGTAGGACATGCTTTAGAAATATCAAAGAGAAAAGAGATTATCATAAACACAGAAAATCGGCATCGTGGCTATACCTATCACGAATATCTGCAACCAGAGAATTTGCATACATGAAAGCTCTTTACGACAGAGGATTTCCAATACCGAAACCAATTGATCTCAATAGACATTGTGTCGTGATGGAGCTGGTTGAAGGTGGACCTCTGTGAGTAAAGTCGTTTTCTTTACCACATCATTTTGTAGGACAATAAAGTTGATATATATAAATTTGTTCCAGTTGCGGTGTGTACGAAATGGACGATGTCGAATCGCTTTACGATGAATTAATGAATTTGATCGTAAAGCTTGGTAATCACGGAGTTATTCATGGAGATTTCAATGAATTTAACATCATGATAACGACTGACGGAAAACCAATCCTTATCGATTTTCCGCAGATGGTTTCTACCGAACACGTGGATGCTAAAATATATTTCGAAAGAGACGTGAATTGTGTTCGCGACTTTTTCAAAAGACGTTTCGGTTACGAAAGCGAATTGTATCCAACGTTTGATGATATTTCGTAAGCGATGAAAATAAAAACATGAATGTTGTCGATATTGCATGTTTTTCGTTATATTTATAGAAGTTAATTTATCTTTAGGAGAGAAGATTGCATTGATGTGGAAATTAAAGCCAGTGGGCTTACAAAGCAGATGGAAAGAGATCTTTTAAAAGAAATGGGTATGGCCGAATTCGAAGATGAGGAGGTCGAAGAAGAATGCGAAGAAATTATTGACGAGGGAAAGGAAAGTATGGATAAAAATGAAATAGATTATTTGCAACTTCAAGTCGAAAACTCTGTAAGGTATGAATTCCCATGCACGTCAGAGGAAGTATCGGTTAACGCAGAGACACACGAAGGTAGGAATATAGTATCCGCACCTTGCCCACACCGATTTGTTCGATTCTGAGAATTGCTTTTATTGCAGCAACGTTCGGTTCGGAAGATGATCATGACCAAGCAGAAGAATTTGTTGATTCAAGAAGCGTGTACAGTACTACTACAGCAGCTACTATTGCTCCAGAAGTTATTAAGGAGAAGGTGAAGCAATCGTTGCAAAAACGAGAAAAGAGAGAAAAATCCAAAAGAGTTCTTGTCAAAGGAGAAGCAAATGCAGTAACCAGAGTAAGGAGAGAGAACAGAGACACGATTAAACAATCGACAGGATTATGGGGTTGGGAATGAACCGCGAGAGTACTTATAAATTATTTATAATAAAAAAAAATAAATAAAAATAATAATATTTGATTCATCGTTGTATTAAATTCGTAGTTTTTCCAAGTATGTTTTTTCAGGTATTGTAAACAATCTCTTTTTTTAACAGTTTTAATTATCATGTAAGTAAAATATAGCTCGGATTTATGACTGTCGCATATGTTAAAGGAACGAAACGTTAAAGTAACAGGTCGTGCATTTATTCGCTTGAATAATTCCACCAGAGGTGATAAACTTACGAAACTGCTTATGTCGCGCACGACTCGGTTATGTTAGCGGTTATCAATCGTCTTTACAAACGAGTTTAAATAAAATACTGGAAACGAAGAGAGAATGACAAAGGAGGGAAAGAAAATTAATCTAATCTTTGTTATCTGACAACCAAAAATATGCTTCTGTTTTCAACTTTCCTCGACCTGTACCGTAAATAAGTTGTAATTTTGTAGGCTCATAACGATACGATAGCGATTACAGTGAAACGGTGGTAAATAGGTTTCGTTCCTTTATGTTACTTCAACGTAAAATATTTAATTACGATATGGAATGATAATCGACGATAATAATCTATTCCACATTCGCTTCTAAGTATCGTACTTTAAGAGCAAAGAAATTAGTATTAACCAGATAAGATAATATTCACATTAAAACTAGATACGAAGATTGAAAGTCACTTACGCGAAGGTAAATATGGATGTCATTTATATCTGAAAATTGCAGCTTATTATTATTCGTACATCCGAGATATTTCGTTTAGTTGATGTATCGCTAAAAATGTCTGCGAACGTGTAGATCGGCCGATATAACGAGTCTCGTGATATAAGAAAGACGAAGTAAACGCGTGAGAACGCGAAATCGTGAAGACGTTATCAGGAAGAAGAGGTTGTTATTATGTCAAACCAGTATATCGTGTTTGAACAGCGAATTGTTTAGTTTCCATGAACATAATGTTTCGCAACGGATCAATGGTCCTGAACTCTGAACCGAAATCGACATCGACGGAAAGTGATTGGAGATTTCGGTGCGAGCGGAACGTTCGACTCGAATGGTATCAAGAGCTTTATGTTCGACGATTAGCGGCTAAAGAAAGAAAACGGGGGAAGATCGCGCGAAGGAGAAGGGATGTTTTCCAGAGGAGAAAACGATTCCATAGGGTACGAATGATAAGGTAACTCGTTGTGGTGATCGCGAGAACTAAGCACACGACTGTTTATATATAGACGCGGTCTGCTCGTTCTTCTTTCCTAGTTCGAGTTTCGTTCCGTCGCTATTCTTTCATTAAACATTCAAGATACACCGGAGCATCGTGTCATCTTTACTTGCATTACTTACTTACGTTCTCGTTGATCATGGCCAAGGACAATCTTACCGCTATCCTCTACGGTATCAACGATATTCGACTGGTTAGTACAAATAGTCGCGATCACGACCAATCGTTTTGCGTACGAGCAACAAATCTTGTTTCTTTAAAACCATATTTTCAACGCGTTATTCGAAGTATCGCTATTAGAAGTCTCATCGCGTTCCTGTCTTCGGTCATTCTACAATTTCGCGTTTTCTTCTTTTTTCTTTCTCGCGCGTCTGTGCATCTATTATTTCTACACTATTTTAATAAGAATTACAATATAGCATACCTTTCAGCATTCGAGCATAGTTTTTCAAGCGTACAAGGGATGATTGTTCGATCTCGAACTCGACGATCGTTCTTACGTTTAAAGGGATTGTCTCGAGTCGATTTAATTTCTTTGGCTGCTCTATTATTAATTGAAACTGTCTAGTCGGGGCCGTTCGAAACGGTCAATGTCAAAGACGAGACGAATCGTTTGCTCGCGTGCAAGGACAAGTTTCGCTAGTTTCATCATTACAACTTCGTTATTTGTAATCATCCGCGCGTTCAATTCCTTCCGCGTTTTACGAGCGTAGAACAGATTACGAGAGCGCGACATCGTTTCCGCGTTCGAAGCGCTTGATCAATTTAGATTTCAGATAAGATCGTCGACTTTTTTCAACTTTTTTACGTGTCTTCTTTGTATAAAAGCACGATGCGCTATTTCGATCGAATCAAACGATGCTTCTATCAACGCACCTATGTATACTTTACAAGTTCACTGTCAGCGTTCGTTATCATTATCGATATCGAATCCTGTTCGATTCGTATCGCCTGACATTCATTTATATGTATATTCTGTTCCACTTCGGTGACCGCGTAAGGCTACGATTGTCGCATCAATGTCTCGCTAATTACGTATTTCGTGTTGCACTCGAGAGTATTAGTTCAGGATGTTTGAACGTCGAACAAATTTTTCGAAGTCGAAATTTACGTTGAACTTTTTTCTTCTATTTCAGGAACAAACTCCGATCGAAGAACCCGATCACGATGGTAAGAATTTTGATTTTATCAAGCAGTTTCGTTCGAATCGAATGTAATTTTCTGGTTTGGAAAGTACTACATTCGTCGAAACATAAAAGCAATAACTGAACAATCTGTTGTTTCAATCGTAACAATAGTGTACTAGTTTTTGTTTTTGAAGAGAACGAAGATACCTGTTACAGTTACGAATCGAGTAAATTGTTTTGTTAGAGGTACTCCTACAGATGGGTTGCGTTGGAATTTGTGGGTCCGACGTCCACTATTTGGTAAATGGAAGAATCGGTGACTTCGTGGTGAGCAAACCTATGATAATAGGCCACGAAGCTGCCGGCGTGGTCGTCAAGCTAGGAAAGAACGTGAAAAATTTGAAGGTGTGTAGAGCTTGAACTTTTTGTTGTTAAAACCATTTCTGTTACGACGTAGTCACGGTCTGTAAAATATAAACGTTTCTAACAGCTCGGTGATCGAGTGGCTATCGAGCCTGGTGTATCCTGTAGAACTTGTGCATTCTGTAAAACGGGCCGTTACAATTTGTGTAAGGAAATGGTGTTTTGCGCAACCCCACCTGTACACGGCAATTTGAGGCGTTTCTACAAACATGCGGCTGACTTTTGTTTCAAGTAAGCTACTACCGCGGACGTACGTACGAGTATATTTATCAGCTATACAAACATTACGATTTACGGTTTCGTTTTCAGATTACCAGAACACGTGAGTTTGGCCGAAGGAGCAATGTTGGAGCCTCTATCGGTGGGCGTTCATGCTTGTAAGCGCGCGGATATCGGCATCAGTTCGAAAGTTTTGATTCTGGGCGCTGGTCCGATCGGTTTGGTGACGATGCTGGCAGCCAAAGCTATGGGTGCAAATAAGATCGTCATTACCGGTACGTTTCTGTTAAAAAATTTCTATATATTCGCTCGAAAAGGCACGATTAAAATGCGACCATTCGCTTAGATTTGACGCAAAGCAAATTGGATGTCGCGAAGAAGCTAGGCGCTGACGCCACGCTTTTGGTGAAAAATAATATGACGGAGACTGAACTCGTAAAAAAGATTCACGAACTTTTCGACGGCGAAGAGCCCGACAAAACGATCGACGCGTGCGGAGCACAATCCACGATCCGTTTGGCAATTCTCGTAAGTTGTCTTTTTGTATTTTTTTATAATTTAACGGTATATCATTTTCGATTCGTTTTATCGGAATCGAACGAAAGAAGTTTAAGGTATCGGTGTATGTTTTAGGTAACGAAATCCGGCGGAGTTGCAGTGTTCGTAGGAATGGGTGCAGCGGAGGTTAAAATTCCACTGATCCACGCGCTCGTGAGGGAAGTCGATATCAGAGGCGTATTCCGATACGCGAACGAGTATGTATTTCAAGTCTTAAACGATACTTAATCCGAATTCGTATAATTATCCATTTCTTCGTTTCTGTAGTTACGCCGACGCGCTGGAACTCTTGGCGACCGGAAAAATAGACGTGAAACCGCTGATAACTCACAATTATAAAATAGAGGATACCGTAGAAGCGTTCGAAACTGCGAAATCGGGACAAGGTGTTATTAAGGTCATGATATATTGTAACTAGAGCATCGACGAACGAAAGTAATCTTCCATTCCTGTTTGGAACGCCGTGGACGAGATTTGGTAGCCATGTCGATCGTCGCTAAAATTTACGCTAACATCTCGATATGATCGATGTTACGTTTCACGCAGGTACTCATCTTGGACGAGACGAACGCACATTTTACACGAAATTTTTACTAGACTTACGTTCGAAACGGCGCGTTAAAACGTAAGGAAAATCCACGCTTTTAAATCTATTATGCTGTTTTAACACGTACAGTTCCTTTTAGAATATTTCCTATAGTTTATTTTATATTAAACGATAATGTTATACGCGTCCGGCACGCGTAGTGGAATTATGTATGCGTAATTTATACGTAGATGTATTTAAATAAGTTAGAAAGAGACAAAATACTCGTCGATCTTGCATGTAAATATATACGTATTCATATTGTGTAGGTACATATGTAAAGTACACCTTTTTTTTCTTGTACCGGTTAATACTCGTAAACCCCGATAACCGACTCATATTGGTAGTAACTCTACGCGATAAATGTTACGACGGAAAATTTTCGCTATATTGCACTTATTCTTTTTATTCAACGAACGCTGTGTGGTTGCACTACAAGAATGTTACATAACGTCGATATCATAATCTTGTTGTCCTCGAGTTTTCGATTCGCCACGAAACGCAGATTATTTTTACTATTATCAAATTAAAGTTGAAGCGTTCGACTTGACGACAGAATCGTTCGATCTTTTAAGCCGCGATTTTATAACAAATGCCATAGAAAGACGATCGGGTATTCTCGAATTTTTCTTTCAATAAACGTTTTCATATACTTCAACCATACTTAGAAACTCGTTTCTTAGATACGAACAGTCCGACGGTTTAGACGAAGCATCCCATATCGTTTATGATTTCCGTTGAAATAAAGCGATTCGGAGATAGAGAACGAAAGGTGTATGGAGTGGTGCTTTTGAACGATTCAAAACGGATCGAGAGTATTCACGGGAAGAGACTTAACCATCTGCGATATTGTCTACTAACAATGACACCGCATGACTTCTTCTATTAGCCTTCTACGTTACTCGAGAGGTTGGTACTCGAAACGCACAGTCTGTTTTCGAGTCACTCTTGTGCTCGAGTTTTGTTCTTTTTATCAAGATTCGCCGATCGATCAACCTGAAATTGGTATTCGTGTTTTTTTCCACGTGGAATTTCATTTTGTAAAACGGAAACGATAATTACAACAGATTGTCTGTAGTCGGCATAAATAAATTTATAGATAATCTTGCTTGTATATTGTTTACGCGCGTTTGCCCGACGGCTATTGCGAGCGAAATGAATGATAATTTGTATCGCGAAAATGGATTACGAAAAGGGAAATAGCGTGGTTCGATGTCCGTTTGAAAGAGAATTTCGATTCGAAAGGAGAGAGTAAGAGAGAGGCGCTAGGTACTAGGCAGGTTTGAAAAGCATCGAGCGGTGCATTATCGGGGACGGTGGATAATTAATTAGAGTGGCAACGGTAATGTAAACAGAGATTCGGTCGAACGAGGCAGAGTGGTAAATTCGGTTCGGCCGACTGGAAGATTTCGGTGTATATACGGTTTGGTCTTTGGGGCAAACATAATCGACGTCGATGCGTTTCCCTCGAGAATCGACGTCGATTCGTCGCCGTCGTCGTCGTCAGTGTCGTTGACGTATTTGCGAATACCGACCGAGCGGATGCGAGATGAAACTTTCCTTATTCGTGCATCAACGGAATTGTCGTTGCTGTTTCGAAATGGTCTTTCCACTGATTTCTGAACTAGTATTTATGTATCGCTGACCATTTTCGAACGTACGCGTGACGCGCAATCGACGATGGAGAATAGTCCACAGAGAATTTTACGCAAACCGTAATTCATGAAAGGCAACGTGTTCGATACAAGATAGGAACAGTTCTATTAGGCGTATAGTACCTAATTCGATTCTCGACGTACATTTATCGACGCAATGTTTGTGTCGATCAAAATTTTCTTTCCGTGTTCTTTCAATGACGGTTCGAGCGATAACGTTACGGAACGGGAAGCGAATGAAATTTTATTTTCGACCATTTCATTCGATCGAATATTTAAACGAGCGCGGTAGCGTTACGTTTCATCTAATAGGAGTATCGTTGCTCGTACGAAACGAAACTGGACGATACACGTGCACGCGGATCGCGTGTAACTCGGTAAACCGCAAGTAGATTCGCTTTCGTCTTGCGGTTTTCCCGCGCGTGCTCCACCGCGCGAGACCACGATGTTTCATGGTAAGATACACCTACCTTGGTAGCGGAAGGATACGCAAGGGGCGAGTGGATGTCACGGAAGTGACGTGGAACGTCTTTCCGTTTCTGGTTTGCGGTCTTTCGATCGGTGACGCGAGTTTAAACAGTTTTCGAAGAACCACGAACACTTTTCAGAAAAAAAACGCACCTAATTCATATTTCCGAGGTCTCGGTACGACTTGGTCGACAATTTAATATCGCTGCACGTCGTATCGATAGATTCGCGGATATTCTCGGGGTTCGAATGGAGGTAAAGGACAGGGGGGATAGGGCGGGGATATAATTACGAACGAACGAGTTACGAAGAGGAAGTTACAGCAGAAGATAATCGTTTCGGCGATTCGTTCGATCGAGTCGCGGTACATCGAAATCACGTTAATGGAATCAGTTGGAAGGTAATCCATTTTCCCGCGACAAGAAGCAGGCCGCAGCGAGATGCTCGTAATCGCGTTAGAGTAATTACGTTATGCGCGTACAAATAGCACTTTCCCAAATAATAACAGCAAGTGGTACGGGGTAGAACCGCCAGTGTTGCGTCGGCTAAAATGTACGTAACCGATTTAATTTTGCATCTACATTTTTTTCACGAGACCTATGCGTAGGCGTAGATAACATCGAGTATCGTTTCCAGCATACTTTTACCGAAGAAACGAAAGGATTGCTCTCGTCGTAGAAAAAACGTAGGAAGAGAAGGCAGGTCGATCTTTGGACGACGCAGAGTGGATGACGAGAGAAATTCGGGAGGTGATTCGCGACGATACGAGGTGGTGCGACGAACGGATAGAGAGAAGGACGAGCGGGTAGTGGGGAGCGGGGAGCGAAATCGGAAAAGGTGGAAGGGTGGTAGTTATCTCGCGAGTTCGCGTGGGAGGTCACGTCGGATAGAGGGTAGGTGAGGCGACCCACGACCTTCGACCAATCACGATTCTAGCTTGAAACTGGGCTGCCAATGGGGACGCCGTCGGGGTGACCTCGTGCGCGATTCTCCTTGCACTTTATCACCGAGAAACCACCCCCACGATGTTAAAAGGTGAAACCTCACCTTTTCTCGGTCGCACGCGCACCGACCGTTTCGATACCAGCGGTTAAACGTCAACGTTTCTTTCTCTTTTTCTTTCTCCTCTTCGTTCGTAACAAGTTTTTTTTCACCAGATCGCTACCGAAGCTCTCGTGAAATTGCCAGCACAGTTTCGCTAGTTTCCGACATTTTTATTCAAGAAGAAAGAAGTAAGGTGCGATACGCATTCGACTTTCTTTACCATTCGATCAAATAGGAAGATGTTTCAAATTTAATTTTTTCCAGGTATTTTTTGTACCCGTTAGATTTTCTTCCTTCGTTCCTCTAATTTTCCGGATTACCTCGCGTACCATTCGCTTAAGGTTCGATTACACGGGTTACGAAACGAAAAAGAGCGTTGGACGTTGTAAGGTTTTTGAACCTCCTCTCAAAGACCCTCTCTCTTTCTTCCTCTCTCTCTCTCCCGGTTTTTCGAAAGGGTCTCTCGCACGATCCGACGTTTCATTAGTCCTCTAATGCGTCTGGTATCCTGCAGGTCGTTGTGGCGTTCGAAAAGGATCACCGTCTTTTTTCTTTGGAACGGTAAGGATGCGCCAGGGATAGGGATAAGGGCGCTACGTGCCCGAGTGACTGATGAACCACCGGCTAATTACCTCCTCTCTGTGCCTCATAATACGGACGTATTAATAACCCGCATTTATATATCCGTGAAAAATGGCCGCTTATCTCGCTTCACGAACGCGGAACGGTTGCTCGGCCTTAGAATACGAGAATCGAGTCGAATCTCTTTCATCCTGTTCGAGCAAACCGTCAGGTTTTTTTTCAACGTTTCGTGAACCGCGTTCGTTCGATCGTTGGTCGACTTTTACTACTTATCGCGAACACCTTATACCGATATCGGTTCACGAACAGTGTATTTAACAACGATTCGTTTCCTTTCGTAACAAGATCAAATACCCGATTGATCGGCAAAGAAGCGCAGGGTAAGAGTAATCTCGATTAAAAGATTTCTGCGGCTCGTACACGATTACGCGCGAATCGTAATTTGAAAACGTTGAACGCGCGGTGCTACGCGCACGAGACGATTCAACGATATATTTCGAAAGATCAAAGCGTTCCGAAAGGGCGTTCGTTCCGTTTCAGCTTCGACCAAATAAAAAGCGAGCTTTGCGTTTTTTACGAATGACTGCGTTTAGAAAGTGACGAGAGGTAGAAAGTTGAACGACCACCTTGGTCTTAACCGTAATCTCGAAGAGTGACGAGCGTCGAGCTACGCGGGGATTCTTCGACGTCGTTCTCTTGCTCCAAGCTCTCCTCGTTTCTGTATCTACCGCGCTGCTCGTCGCTCTTCTTCTCCCGCTCTATTTTCCCTTCAATCGCGATTCACGGTTTATCTTTCGAAGTCGTCGTCGGCGAACCGAACGAGATCGAACGAGATCGACGAATACCGCGATCGATCGCGAAAGCTTTCATCGACGAGATCGGCCGTAGAGGAGAGTTCAAAGTGCCTAGCAGCGTTTCGCGAAACGCGATTCGTAATTTGGTCGAGTTTCGTCGAAGTACTTTGAAAATATGAAAAGCAACGGTAGCGAGACGGCAGGGGCGCAAAGGATATCGCGACAAAGCCACGGCGGCAGCTTCAAAGCGCTTCCCGCTCCGTCCGCCCGTTTTTCTGCTCGTCCCTGCAGCTCCGCGTTGCACCGTTTCCTTCGTCGTTTCACCCTCGGCTCGTTCGTTTCGAATCTGGTTCGTTTGGTCGATCGCGCACAAAACTCGACCCG